AGGGAGGATTATTTTTCCTTATAAAATACCATATTAATAATCATTTAACCACAAAAACAATAATACTTACATAAACCAAACCACATATTGTTGATAGGCATAATAAAATGTTATGTTTTATACGAAAAATAAATGTTGGCTAGCTTGATCTGTTAAAGATAAAAACAAAATAAAATAAATATATTGAATAGTAATTAAACAAAAAAAATAAAAAAACTGAAAATGAAGGATCTTTGGACGAAGCATGCATGCAAGTGGTAAACTTATTATCTATGGATTGCTTCTACATAAATTCAACAAAAAATTTGATGCAATAATTATATCAAGAAAATTATATATTAGGGTGCACTTGCTTGAAATTTTTGGATATTTTGAGATTTTCTTAATTTATAATTATTTAAATAAAAATTAGACTTTAAAATAAAATATTTTAGATATGACCTAGTTTTTGCACGTAATATTTTGATAAGGAAAAAAAATAAGAAATTGATATGAATGTAATTTTTTGTAAAATTCTAATGTACCTTAAAGAAAATTATATATAATAATATAGGAAGAAAATAGTAAATAAATCATTAACTTTCTCTCGTCTAAATCAAATTACGAGAATTTCAATGAAATTGTTTCAAATATTTTAAAATTTTTCAAATATATTACAAATTCCACAACTTATATAAATATATGGGCATATATGAGCTGCTAATCTGGTTAAGTCAACATGGTGCTAATTTGACCGGATCAACATATGCTATAAAGGTGTCCAATATGTATATATATATATGTCAGTAATTTATAATCCAAACATATATTATATTATAACTCAACATATGTTATTTTATAACTCAACATATGGTATCCTATAACACAACTTATGTTGAGATATGTATAAATATGTGTTGATCACACATATGATATATGCTTACCCGAACAAACCCGCATCATACTTAGCCGGATCAGCATAAAATCTGCGGCCATAAATATGTTGTCGTAGCTGGATCTAATAATTTGAGCTCACTCTAACCTTTTAAATTAAATTAATTTAGATATATCATCAATCATTGACTTATAAGTTAATTTTTTTTTATTAAATGTAACTTTATGGTTATATAAAAATAAATACATACAACTAAAAAAAAAGATGCAAGTCACTCATGCAATTAAGTTTGTACCTAATAAGTTGATAGGATCAATTACCCTATCCACAAATCTATCTCAACTTGATCGTTTTATTTTATTTTATTTTTATCTTTTTATTTTTTATTTTTTTTTGGGTAACACAGTAGCGTTCGATCGATCAAATTAAAGTTAAAAAGTTACAAACCAAAGTCTATTCAAATCGAATCTGCGTATTATATCCAAAATTGTTACTCCTAAACATGCACAAATAAATATTTTCCTTGCTAAACGGGCATTTAAATTTAAGATCAAAAGTAATTTGCAAGAAAAATAAATGCATGTGTGATGCTAAAATAAAATTAAGAGATTTATACAATCTAAAAAAAAAAAAAAAAATCCGCAGTGTATTGTTTGCACCTAGCGTGCATGAGTAATTATCTACTGATTATATTCTATAAATCTCACTATATATCTAAGAGATAATAAAATGTATTAGAAGTTTTGGGGAAAAATAATGAGATTGTCTTATTGATCATCAAAATAAGGAGCCTGTATATAGGCAATACAAAATAGAATCGATAGACTCAAATCTAAGTAATCTAATATATGAATAAGATCAAATCTAGATATAAATCTACTAAACTTAAAACTGAATATCTAAAATATCTCAACAAAATGTAATAAATTTAGCGTGATATTTTTTTAGGTACGAATAATAAATAATACAAAACTAAAATTAAATACATATATAATCAGAGCATCGATTCCTCCGCCATAAATCAAATTCAAGAGAAGGGAGTATTTAAAAATAGTCATCAAAGAGAAATTAAACACTTCACACACACTTGTAACGTGTCCGAAGCTGACATGTCCGGCGCCTAGGCCACGCCCGCGCTAAGGTCCAGACCAGCCGTCCTCTGTGCGCAACACGTTCGGGATATACCATACAGTATGAAGATAATCATGTGGAACACGTACCTGCACCAAGATATGGGTCATTAGTCGGCCGTACAGGACAGGGGCTCGTACACATGGGACGAACTATGGCCGAGAACTAGGGGTAGGAATGTCAGCCCGTGACAAACTCCCCAACTTCAAGTCGCAAACGCCCTCGTACAATGCTACTTGAGTGCACCGACGTTGTTTCTTGCACCATCGGTATGCCTCCGCCGAACCTTTTCCTGCATACCATTCTGTTGGTGCTCACCAACAGCCAGCGAGGTCTTTTGTCATAATCCATGTGCGATCTAACCTCCGCTACACATCTCCACATACCATCCGGGACATCCGTTGTTGCGGCTTGTGCGATTTTCGCCCGATAATCGTCCATAACATGGTTTTTCCCTCACGAACAAAGCTCGGCCCTCTTGGCCCTTTTAGCAACGTCGAACATACTCCCCCTCCTTGGGATGTCCAGTTACCTTAGGACATGCTCTTTCCTGACGTGCTTGACAACGTCGGACTGTCCAATTACCTTAGGACAAGATCATCCTGATCATCCTTGACGTGCCCACCGACATGCTCCTTGACTCGAGACATGCCCACTTTGTCGTTTCGTTCGCCACCAGCGTCAAGGTCCGCTCTGATACCATATGTAACATGTCCGAAAACTGACACGCCCGGCGCCTAGGCCACGCCCGCGTTGAGGCCCAGACCAGCCGTCCCATGTGCGCAACACGCCCGGGATATACCATACAATATGGGAGAATCATGCGGAACACGTACCTGCACCAAGATATGGGTCATTAGTTGGCCGCACAGGACAGGGGCTAGCACACATGGGACGGACTATGGCCGAGAACCAGGGGCTGGAATGTCAGCCCGTGACACACTACATCAAAACTAAATTTTGAAATGACTAATCACTCTTCACTTCTCTTGGTTGCATTTGCGTTAGTTGTCGCCACATTAAGCCTCCATAGCCAAAATTTGTCGCCCCCGCGACCCCGAGGCATAAAAGTCACCGGTCGTATATGTTGCGCCTATACCAGAGAATGCTTTAGAAAAAGTAGCAGTAGTAAACCCTTGTCGGGATTAGCCGTGACCCTTAACTGTAGTGAGATTAACCTTGTTGGTAGAACCACGACTAATAAAATTGGAGCCTTCGTAATTACAACCACTGTATCGGGGGGTGAATTATTTTCAATTTTCCCGAATTCTTGTCGTGTTAGAGTTGTGGTACCACCGTTGTTCCCCAGGTGTCCCTTGTATAGAGAATGGTTCTTCATCGGTATCCGTGTCTCTCGTTCCCTCCCGACCATGACGGTGAGTCGGAACGTGACTGTTCTAGATATGTATATTGAATCTTGGATCAAAACGGAGCCGTTTTAAGTTGATGGATTATACTATTGGAAGAAAGAAGTGTACTCTCCCTCCGTCCGCATCATCTGAGGGTCACATTTACCTTTTACGTCATTGTACTTAACATTAAAAATATTATTATATATGTATAATTTTTTTATTTTTTTTTTACGAATTCCTTCTATTAATAAGACACTAATGAAAGTATTTCTGCAATTTTTTCTTAATTTTTACTACATTTTAATATAATAATTAATATTCAAATATCAACATGCAAAAACTAAATGGATCCCTTAGAGCCGGACGGAGGTAATAATAGTTATCAAATTAAATGTTGTTATGTACAAATGTAATTAAGTCTTGATAGGGGACGCATTTTATAATAATAATAATAATAATAATAATAATAATAATAATAATATTTTAATATTGCTCGTGAAGTCGTTGATTCAAATCTGTCTTCAGCTTTACCTGCTACATATGAATCGTCTAGTGTGATTTGTCTTGTCGAGCCTAATTTGCATGGTAATAAATTCGACCCAGAGTTTACCCAATGCGCACATTAAGGTAGCAACCGCGGATTCTCACATTATTATTATAATAATAATAATAATAATAATATTAAAATGAAATAGAGAAGAATAAAATAGAGATATTATGATAATTTATTAACGAAACTATTAATATTTTCATGTGAAAAGTGTTTTGTGACTATTATTATGTTTTAATGTGTATTTTGTGATTTTGAAGGAAGAAGAGATTGATATACTTGGGCTGGTCTTGTTTTATTTCATGCAATCGTATGTATATGCGAATTGTTCATTCGACTAATATTTTAATTAGCGGTTGTTTGAAGTTCATCATCTTCATTATAAATGATCTGCTTGCTCTGAAATGTCCCGGACCTATAAAAAAATTCCAATTCATTGGATCTTTCCATACAATTCACCTAATTTATGACCGAATAGGATTGAAATAAATTTAAAACAGAAAGAAGAATAACTATATTTTCCTTTTTGTAAATATGTTGAATCAAACAATCAAATAAGATAAAACAATCGGTGTGTTACTTTGTGTTCTTTAATGAGTATACTTTTTATTTTATATATAAAAAATGGATTTAAAAAATAATATTTTATATTAAATGATTAAATTTTTATAATTGAATATATATATATGTATATATTATATTTTTATAGTATTTATAACAAATCATATAAAAATAAAAATTGCATGAACAAACCCAATAATTTTCTTTGGTACATAAGAAATACCCCCTCCATCCACGTTTTCGCCGGTGTAATTTAATTTTTCTATTTTTAAAAATATAATTATTCATTTTAATTATATTTATAATTTTCTTAATTTCAATTATATTATTTAGTTATCTTTGTCTTATTTTATAATTTTTTTTATTATATAATAATTATATTTTCTAATACACCATAATTATACTTTTAACTCTGGTCTAAATGGATATCGGATTCGAGTCCGAACCCTAAACCCTAAACTCGGGACATCTACAATAATCAAAACAATAAATGAGTAGGATGTTCGGCAAAGAGAAAAAGAACACTACAACATCCGCAAATAAGCATCGATCACATAATACACATAACAACGGGCGAAAAGAATCCGGGACAATCCAAGCAAATATTCGACAGGGCGGGCGAACCAACCGAAATTAAAACCAACCAACGGGAATACGACGAAAATGTCGAGCAAAGTAAACTAGAAAAACATGTTACACTAGTTAATCCCTTCATCCATTCTCTTATTCGATTACCTTTTATTTGGCCATCATAACCTTAACAAACTCCTCGTAGTTGATCTGACCGTCGCCGTCCACGTCAGCCTCCCGGATCATCTCGTCGACCTCCTCGTCAGTGAGCTTCTCGCCAAGGTTAGTCATCACATGGCGCAGCTCGGCAGCGGAGATGAAGCCATTCTGGTCCTTGTCGAAGACGCGGAACGCCTCTTTTAGCTCCTCCTCGGAATCAGTGTCCTTCATTTTCCGGGCCATCAGGTTCAGAAACTCCGGGAAGTCTATGGTTCCATTACCGTCAGCGTCAACTTCATTGATCATGTCCTGGAGCTCGGCTTCCGTGGGATTCTGTCCCAGGGATCTCATCACTGTCCCGAGTTCTTTGGTTGTTATGCAGCCTGTATAGAAAGGCAGATAATGGGTCGGGTAGAATGTAGAAAAGCATGTGCCAATTGATGAATCAGACACTTCTATATATTATTCAAAATCAGAAACAAATTTGAAAGGGAAAATATAGCAGCAAGAATCTCAAATTGAAACGGCATCAACGTGGCTCGGATACGACACCATAGCCTAGAACATCAAGTCGTCCCATAATAAACAACTACCTAATTTAATGGATCTAATCAAATAATAACGATGTAATCTACAGAATCATAGCAAATATATTAAATGTAAAAAGTATCTCAACGAATGGGCATGGGTATATTATATTGCAAGCCGTGGTTGATGGGCTGAGGATTAACATAATCCAAAGACGAGTTACCTTACATAACATGTATGAATTACACCTAGCTTAACGCAAAATCTTTTAGATATATATATATATATACACACAGAAATGGAAAGATGTGATCAAATCAGACTGTAGATTCCAAACACATGCGGATTGGATACGACACCATAGCCTACAACATCAAGTCTTCACATATGCAGATTACTCAATTATGCGCAATCGATTGTCTGTTTCTTTACAACACAGATGAAGGTTTTGCATTAGAAGAGCACCATAAGAGATAACTCCAAAATAGCACTTCTGTATTCCATCATAGCATTCAAAGACACAAATTTGCACCCCTCAAATAAAGAACTTTGTTCACTTTGTTAAGTTTGGATATTTGGACTATGCGTTTCCCGAAAAAATACACTTTCTCCTCTCTTAAAACATCTCATCAAATATTATTTTAATCCCAAACTTAAACCAATTTTTTTCCAAACTCAACCAAAAAAACACACCCTTTGTGTTTTTAACATATCCTTTTAATAGTATGCAATTTAACAGAGTAATTCCAGTCCAAAAACATCAGTTTCACCACCAACTCCATACAAAAACATCAAATCCTACTACTATTTTCCACTCTAGAAGATTCAATAAAAACAACAAAACATCCCAAATTAAGCACAATTGTTATGCCTGAAAATGGAAGTATACGGAATACCTTACTCGACAGGTCAAGGACGCAATCTAAATGCATGCCCTATTTTCTAACTAATAAATTGGAGTTATAACAGGAAGCAGGGGATAACAAATCCTGACTATAAGTGGCCTATTACATAGATTTAGTGATGTTCTGCAAAACCTAATAGTCTCATTACTGGACACCAATATGTGGAATAGAGAAGGCTGATGAACCCCACATATATATCAAAGATTCAAAGATGAACACTTCACCCTATAATCAATTTATCCACACCGAATAATTACAAAAACCAACATATGTGTGTTCTCCATAAAATACTTCTTAACAATCTCCAAATGGACCCTTCAAATCGAAATAAGACATGGGATCAAATAACTCCACACCAATAAATGTATGCACATCACCAAATAACAAAAGCGATCGGCAATTCAACCATAAAAATTTCCAATCAATTCAACCTAGTCTGCAGCCATCAGATCTGAATCCCAAAGAAAAAATAACAAAATCATTTCAAACATACAAAAAGAGGAATCTAATCACAAATTATCAAAAAAAAAAAAAAAACACAAACAAATAAACTATGGCGAAAACAAATAAGGTTGAATTCGAACCGTCGCCGTCCTTGTCGAAAAGGCTGAAAGCCTCCTTGAACTCAGAGATCTGGTCGTCGGTCAACTGATCCGCCATAACTCCTAATTCTCGAAGAATTCCTCTGGTTTTTCCTCCTTTTCTCGATTTGTCGGCTTCGGGAAGAAGAGATTGAAGAAAGAGAAAGAGTTGAGATACTGAGAAAATGAAATGAAACTCAGCTGTGCTTATTTATCTGTTTTATGAAATAAAAAAATAATTAAAAAACTGCAAATATCAATCAATAGAATATCTTGTGGAAAAAAAAAAGAAAAGAGAAAAGAATATCTTGTGGGATTTTTATTAAAATATTAATTATTTATTTATCTATATAATAATGGGCATCGCTACGCGGTGCCCACGCGTTCTGTACGTTGACTTTTTGGTCGCTACAGATTTCTGCCACGTCAGATCCAGCCTTCTTTGTAATAGGGCCTGGACTTCATGGGCCTGAACCTTTTAATTCTAGTTTGGGCCGATGTTTAATGCATTTGGGCTGAAATTGTGTCCGGTTCACGAGGAGTGTTGATATAAATAGTGTGTTAATTGTTTCTCTCATTATTCATGTGAAAGTAGTAAAAGGAAAAAGAGCGAGTGGTGTGGCGGTCACGACGTCTCTGCTCTCAACGGAATTTGCACCGCCGGCGGGAAAACGCCGCTCACGGTATGCTTACGTTACAGGAGAGTTTACTCTCTTCATCTCGGCGCCAGGCTGCTGCTGCCACGCCGACTCCGTCGGAATCTCAGCATGCGGTGAAAATCGGATGCTTCTCGGCTGTTTTCCAGCTCTTCTCCAAATACCAGAATTCCAATAAACGCTTGACATTTGGTCAGGAATTTGGTTATTATTGTCGTTTTATTTTGGTGCACTGATTTTGACGGATATACTGTGTTTGATAAGGATTTAGGAATGTCTCCGATGAATGCTGTTGGTGGAACTGATAGCGTGTTTTTCAGGTAGGAAGCAAGGGAAGCGGAAACCGTCGTCTCCAGCAAAAAGCAAATGCTCATCAGAGAAAGAGAAAAAATTAGACGCGAAGGATTTGAGTTGTGATATTAAACCTTCTAAGAGCCTCACGCCTTGGCCGGAGATTCGACAATCGCACGCTGCGAGCTCATCGGATGACTATAGAACTTCGTCCTCACTTCTTATGAAGCTCATAGGTTTGGAAGATTTTGGCAAAGCTGTAGCAAACCGGCCGGCATTGGAAGAAGATTCGGTAACCGAGAAAAGGAAGCAGCTGCTACAAGCTCTGGAGAAATGCAACGAGGATTTGGAAACACTGAAGAGGATCATTAACGCGGTGCAGAACTCTGAAGTTCGTCTTCAGCTGCCGCATCCAACCGTGCAAACCGATACGCGACATTGCCGCAATGGAAATGAGGTCTCACCGGAGGTGGACGTGGTAGCTAAAGATCTGAATATTCCGGTGGATATGGCGGAGGAATTAACTCGATCGCCGATCGACATGACATCCACAGTACACAATGATACTGCAGGTTAGTATCCTCAACATCCGTTCTTCAGCTTTTGATATTCGTCCTTTCTCTGAAAATGTTTAAATGTGTCTAACTAAAACAATATCGTCATTAACAGATTTAAGTATCAAATACTAATTGACATAACTTTCAATAATCCTATATTCATCGTACATGAAAGCATAAAATATTGATACAAATTCATAGTTGAGTGAAGCTCAAGGTTTGGAATGTAGAGACAAAATCATATGCCTAAAGTTATAAGGCGTGCAAAATTCCATTATAACATTCATAATGAATTAATCTTGTCAGTGCAAATTAAGCTTTACAGCTACTGTAAAATCATCAGTAAAACCAATGCCTAATAATTACAAGATTCTGCCTTCACTTAGAGTAAGAATTAAATTATTCACACCTTAGGTATTGAAAATTAAAGAGATGTACCAAAAGAGAGTTACAGTCAAAGAGGATTAAAAGTGGTGAGGTGTACTAGAAATAGACCAAAGTGAAGGAAGAGGACGAATGTGTGTTGTGGGGCGCGGCTATAACAGTAAAGAACAAGAGGGTACATCATTGTTTGTAAGAGCTTTTTTGCTTTAGAATGACAGTCAGCACAGCACCACTTCTTTTGGTCTACTTTTGGGTCCACTTATTCTTCTTCTATTTTCGCTTATTTTTTACATCAATTCATATTTCTCCAAAGCTGCTTAATACCATAGTAACACTATGAATATATATATATATAGTAAAATTGCTTGTACCTCCGTTATGATTTTAAAATTTAGCTTAAATTTTCCTATATTTTAAAAATTGTACGATCTCTCTTATATTTTAAAAAACTTTGCATAAAATCTCTCGTCATATAAAAAAATATAGATAAAAAATCATTTTTTCATCATACAAAAAAAAATGTAACAAAAAGTTTCATTTAATGTTTTTTAAAATATAAAAAAGCGCCGTATAATTCTTAAAGTAAAAAAAATTATGATGAATTTTGAAACCATAAGGAAATTATAGTCAATTTTGTCTATATATATATATATGTATATATATATATATGTAATATCAAAGGTATTATTCACATCATGCATGAATGTGTAGACCTGTGGTTGAAGTCTCTATTTTTTTGTAATTTGGGTTTTGTCTTATCTCATTCCAAGATTGAATGATCAATGCAAATATATATATATACATAAGCAAATTAGGAATAAAGAATAGGTATGTTTAGTTGTTCTTTTTAGGAAATTTTAAGTAGAAAAAGGGGTATGAAGCATAAAGCATTTAAGAATAAATACAATCAAACAAGTTTACACTAATATTATATTGTTCGTTTTGGATCAAGTCTTTTGTTTTAGATTTATTTCAAAAAAGCCTTATACTATATGTGTATGTAGGAGCAAAGTATGACCACAAGCCGGCAAGGGAACCGGGAGAAGGCAACGAGCGAAACATAACTAAATCCTTAAACAAATGCTCGTTTTACTATTCGATAAAACCATGCTCACTTCTGCTGCTCCGGCGACGGCCACTAGCCGTGGCGGAGTGGGGCTGTGTTAGCAGGGGAATGGTTGAGAGTGTAGAAGAGGTGTGTTGGGAGATAGGGTGGGGTGAGAAGGGGGAGATTGGGAACATAGGACTGGTGGTTCAAGACCACCTTTGGAGAGAATTGATACAAGAGCTTGTTCTTGAGCTTGAGAAATCTTGCTCCCTACATCACTTGCCACTCCCTCTTCACCACTGCAAGAGGAGACTTTGTTTCTAATTTGTATGTCACCCATATTCATATATATATAGCTTAAAGTATATAGCAGCACATGCTCGGTTTATATTTTAATGTTGTGCGTTGTTTTTTTATACATTACGTGTTGAGTTTATTTATTGTATTTATGTTGCTAAATTTATAGATCATAGTGTTGTAGAATAGTATATTACTGTATTAATTTTTTTAATAGTATACAAAAATAGTAACATATGTTTTTTTTCCAAAATTTTAGGTTGAGTATATTTATATTTGCTCGACTTAAATTACATTGAGGAGAAAGAAATGATATCAGAAAATAGAATGATAGAGAAAAAAATTAGAAGAGAATAAGAATTAATTATTTTGTTTGGTAAAATAGATAATTCATTTAAATATATATATATATATATATATATGAAAGAAATGATATCAGAAAATAGAATGATAGAGAAAAAAATTAGAAGAGAATAAGAATTAATTATTTTGTTTGGTAAAATAGATAAATCATTTAAAAATATAAATATATATATATATATATATATATCCGAATTCTTTCTTCGAGATCCGATCAAGTCGAAAGAAAGAAGAACGAAGGGGTAGGCAAGTCTCTTACATATCAAACTACAATAACAAGTGTCAACACAAACGTATGTATTCTTCAATGGTCTCTGCACAAATTTTACACACAAACAAAAGAACCTTTAAAGCTCAAAACTGCCAAGAAATCGAAAAGAAAATTCGTTTTCTTGAAGAGAAAATCGATCAGCCATATCCTTCTCTACCCCTCTCTTACTCCTCCTCAGCCCGAGCCCGAGCCCGAGCCCGAGCCCGAGCCCGAACCCGGGATTTTAGAGAGTTTACCTTTCTCAAGCCCTTCTTGGACGTCCAAATTTACCGTCTGCTGGTTTTCTTGGACAGCTGAATTCTCCGATGGAATAGGAACAGCAACATGTGGAGTGTTCTTTAAGTTGTTGCTACGATTGCTCGGTTCGACATCTGACGTCTCATGGATATCAGAATGCTCGGTTGTCGTTTCTTCTACAACCACAGGATTCTTGATCTCCCCACCTTCATTAACATCCCCGGCGTTGGTTTCGTCGTGATGTAAAGAAGACAGACTTTCTTTTCTATGATCGACGAATATATCGAGCTCACTCGAGGTCGATTCCCACGGATTGGCGCCGAAATCCCCGATGGTATCCAGCTCGGTCAGCAGCCCATCGATCTCCTTAATCTCATCCACCTCTTCGACTACAGTCCGCGTGTCATGGCGGGAAGAATTACTTGTTTCGAAAGGATTGGTGACGAGTAAAGAATTGAGACTCGATGGGATGTCGAGATCAAGGCTGAGAGTCTCGGGAGTCGTCAGTGCCGTTGTAGCCGGGTGGTCTTGCGAGATCGATGCCTGCATTTCAAGAAGACGCCGTGTATTCGATCAAGATTATTCAAGAACGAACGGATTATGATTTCTTGAATCGATTAGTAAGAAATTCGGAAGATCATCGATAGTTCGATTTACCTGTGCATCATCTTGATGCTCGGCCAGAACCGGAAGATCATCCATCGGTTTATCACCGGGAATGTTCGCAATCACCTCCTTACCAGTAGAAGACATTGTTCGATTGACTGGTGGTGCTGAACTAACAATTGTCGAATCTGACGACGGGCTTACGTCGTAAATCGGAACCTGGTACGGAATCTCATTAACCAATGTACTTGTGGTGATCAGAGCAGTATGTTGTTCCACCGCGAAATCGTCACTTAACAAACTGTCCCGCCGCGACTCAGCGAAGATTCTCTCGCTGGCTTCGGAGAGCGACGAAGAGCTCGAATCAGTAGTGTATCTTTGTTCGACGCCGTCCGACGAGATTAAACGGTACTCAGGATCATGGACATCCGCGGGAACCTCGTCGACTTCGACATCTATATTCTCTGCTCGGCCTAACTCTGCTACATCTTCATCGGACGAAGATTCGCTTCCGTGTCTGACCTGTTCAACAACGCTTTCGACAATCGAGATCGCTTCTGGTTCTTGATCTTGATCTTGATCTTGATCTTGATATTCTTCCATGTATACTATGCTTCCTGAACTCGGGTCTGCGTCGAAGGAATCATCTTCCTCCGGGAGCTTTCGACTTCCCAAATCCTCAAACGAACCAACCGAGTCAGTTTCATGAACGGAGCTAACTTTCGAGTCGCTAAGCTCGCTAGACTGTCGTCGAAACTGAGAATAGCTTGATTCTTCTGCAAACGCCTGCTCGGGAACGAAGAACGGCTTCATTTTCTCCTTGTCCTGCGTCTCATTCGCAAACCGTGACGATCTGACATTAACAGTCTCGGATCTTCGGAAGATGGGATCTCTTGCCGGAGCTGGAGTCGTAAACTCCTTCTGAAATTCATCTTCTAGAAGATCGGGCTTCTCTTCGCTGGAATCGTAAGGAATATCGAAAGGGTTCCTTCTGGGCAACAGCACGGAAGGAGCTGAACCAGGAATCGGAGGAAGTCCAGAGTCGTTGCGAGGATCGTCAGGAAGATCGAATGGATTCTGTCGTCTTGTCGAAATGGCCGGAATGTTGAACTGAAGATCATAGCTTTCCAAAGCCAAGTTCCTTTCGGGGAGCAGGTTCATGTTCTTTCGAGCTCGTCTCCTCTGAATTAAATTCTCGAGGCGTTGGTTCCTTTCGATCTCTGACCATCCCAAATCCATGACATTCTTTTGGTCCTCTTCTGTCCACACAATCGGAGATTTCGTCTCTTCTTCTTCTTCATCGCCATCCTCCTCAACGTGATTTTCAATCTCGTTGTCCAAATTTCGACCCCGGGCTCTCCTCATAATGATATTCTCGAGGCGTAGGTTCCTTTCGATCTCAGAACTTCGAAGTTCCATAAGATTCTTTTGGTCCTCCTCTGTCCACGCCATAGGAGACGCCGTCTGTTCTTCCTTTTCTTCTTCTTCATCCTCGTTATCATCAGCGTCAACATTATTCTGATCTGCGACCCCATTAGTCACATTTCGACCTCTGCTGGCTCTCCTCATGATTAGATTCTCTAGCCGTTGGTTCCTTTCGATCTCCGAGCTTCGCAGCTCCATGAGATTCTTTTGATCCTCTTCCGTCCACGTAACAGCAGATTTTATCCGTTGTTCTTCCTCATCCTTTCGTGCATCTTCATTGTCGTTATCGGAAGCATCCAAGCCCTTGCTGCCTTCACTCTCATCCGACTCACGACTGCTGATACTCGATCTCTCTGATGCTGCGTCGCAGCCATCAATGGCTACTGCAACAGGTTGAGGAGCTTCTTCATCCAATAATGGATGAAGCTCATCAAGCATAGGCATGATTTCTGCCATTGATGCATCTGGAGACGAGCTTTCAGCCCGGTCCGACCCAGAGTCCGAATCATCATCATCCTCATCCTCCTCCCCGACTCTATCCACCCGCGTCCAAGGAGATCGAGGAGGAGAATCCAGAGAATCCACATTCACCTCCTTCGATCCAAAAGATTCTGCTCCCGAATCGTCATCCTCATCCTCATCCTCATCCTCGGATCCATCATTTTCCTCCTCGTCGCCCTCGGCAATCGATGCAAAATGATTCTCAATCAATTCCCCAACCCTAATCCCCTCATTCCATTCATACTTGCTCTCATGCTCCTCCAACTCTCCTAACTCTTTCCTTCCTTCTCCAACTTCACCATCACTCAGTCGAATTCGAACCCCCTGTGATCGAGCAGTCTCGTCCGAGGACTGCTCGAATTCCTCCTTTCTCTCCTCAGTAAATCCCTCACCATGAACATTCTCAATTTCATCAACACCACCACCAACATCTTCTGATATTCCATCCTTTATTAACACAAACTCATCAATCCTATTATCCTCTTTCTCAATTTCAGGTAAATCTGGCTCGCCATAACTCAAAAGAATTCCGAGAAAAACAGCAGTGCACAAAAGAACAGGGGAAGCAGACGCCAAGAGTGAAAACACAAACGGAAACGATCTGTACAAGAACAGCCAAAAACAGAGAAATACCACAATAAACGGATGATTACAAGCTAACCGATAACACTGCCCGATCGTATAAACCACGCCTTTCATCAAGTTCTCCCCAATTTCCGATAACCGATTATTCATTTCCCCTACTCTGATTTCCAAATCAACTGCAAAATTCGTAAACACGCAACACACTATTCAACCGTAGATCAAACCAAAAACCACAGTCAAACCAAGTAATCGCATCAGTCAATAACTTACCCCCGATTTCCGGACGAGAATCTATCGATTTCAAGCAACAACTGAAAACCTTGAAGCAACAAGCAAAATCAATTCCAAGCGATGCAGAATTTCAACAGCAATTTGAGCAGCATCAAGTACACCGGCTTCGAACAGAGATCAATCCGGCAGGACAAAATTAACCGATGAAGCAAGCGAGAAACACAATCTAGGTAAAATTTTACACTCGTCTTGATTCAGCTACGGATTGATCTGAGTATTTCATCTGCCGGTGAAAATCGGTACAAATTTGTATTCAAAGAGGAAATTGATTGGGTGCCCCAAAATCAGGGTAGTCGGGAATTTATATTTAGGCGCTCCCTGGACTTCAAGTCTCGTGATTCATAAGGGCCGGGGGGGTCCTACAACCGCCGTACTGGTCTGAAAAAGGAGCTCCCGGACTAACCGACTTCTAACTATAAGAAAAAGGAATGGGCTTTGTGCCACGTGCCGCAAGATCCTTCGTCTGGTGCTCTGCACCGGGAGTTGGGGAACTGTATGACTGGTCCAACTGGAATGCGACTAGTCTATGCAGATAGTTGAAGCTTGAAAGCGGTCATTTTGTGGCGCTGATTTGCTATCGAAGACCATCCAACGGCTGTCGTTTGATGGCTCGGGGCGATCGACGGTGAAGATTGTCCCGTGTTCAAGGGTCAAGATTGAATATTGAATAAAGCAAGTAATTAATGCGTAATTGTAGCTATTAATATTAATTAATGAAATGTTTTGTGTAAATTTTATTGCATGGTTTCTTATTAATTTTTATAAATCGAAATTAATTTAAAAAATTAAAGTTCAGTTCGGACTAATATTGTGAGAGCAAGTGTGTGTTTATTTTTTTTATTTTAACTTAAAAATACTTCATCCTTCCCAAAAAAAAAAAAGAGATGTGTTATTGGTGTTGGCACAAGAATTAAAAGAATAATAATATTTAATTAAAAGTGGGTATAAAGTTAAATGTAAAAGACTAAAATGTTTTTATTTTTTGAAAAATTTTAAAAAAAATGTTAGAGTAATAATTAATGATAGTTTAAAAAAGTAGGAATAATTTTGTTATAAAATCATGATCACATTTACTAGATAAAAAAACAAGACAATTGTTTTAGAACGAACGAAATTGAAAAAAATAAGATAATACGTGATTTTGGACAAATTAAAATAATAAGATAAATATATTAATTGCTGGCGTAGTAGATGTAAAAAAAACAAAACAAAACAAAAAAACATTATGGGCCGAAAGTTGTTAATAAGATAATGAGTGGGCAGATTCATAATTTAGGAAATATTTGGAGTGAAAGTGAAATTAAAGCAAAAACACGCTGATTCGCTGACATCCGTGTGCCTAACCGCCACTCCAGCGTAACTGAATCAATATAGGAATCAGCAATATATATATATTTATATATAATAGGATTAGCAAAATTACCTTTCCTTCTTTCTTCATTGTTCTTCATTTTGAGGTAACATTCCACGGTTTTGGTACGGTGATCTCTCCCGCGGAGGTTTCTGATATCTTGTTCGGGTGCAAGCTGTTTTAATTTTGATGTCGAGGTACGTGTATTGATAATAAGTTTTTACGCGATTTGGATGCTTTTGTCTGTCTCGTAGTTATAAATGGGTGGATTTTGAGGTAATCTCGCTAGCTGGGTAGACACTCGCTATATGCTGTTGTTGGTGGTGATTGGAAGAATGTTGTTGTGATTCGCAATATGTTGAACCACGGAATAATCTGTTATAGGCTTGGATCTTCAATTAATGGTGAAGTATATGACTCAGGATGCGTTTTAGTTGGTTAGTTGTTCGAATGATGATGCGTTTACGCTGATATTTTACTTTCTTTAGCTTTGTTTTAGCAGTAGTTCTTGTTAGAGAGATTATTCGATGCTTGGTGAATGTTGATAGGATAATGAAGATTTTCCATCTTGGAAACCTTATTAACAAATTGTTGATAGGATACTGAAGATTTTCATCAGGTTTTTACCAGTTTAGAATTGTTGAGTTTCATATGTAGTTGCAAGTTGCAGCTGATTCCTGATTCAAACAAGCTGAATATGCCTAAGTTTTTATGCATAATACATATATGTGTGTGTGTGTATATATATATATATATATGCAGGATTTTGATGATTTAGTTACCCACAATCTATACAGAGTAGGGGCAAAAAAAATGTCAGTTGATAAAGCTAGTGGTTCCGGAAAGACTGTCCCAAATGAAAAAGGAAAAGCAAAGGTTTGGTTACATTTTCCATATCTTGCATAATGTTTATAATTGTTGAATTTTGATTTTTGATAAAGGAATCAAATGTGTGTGTGTATATATATATAAGCTACTGATTATAAAATTATTGAATCCGGTGCTCGATCATTTGAACTTTAAAAAAAAAAAAAAAAGCATCATCAAAACATATGCATATGCTTCAAGATTTTGGCATCGATTTGGTGTGTTCATCATGAATTCAGATAGAGGAGGTTAGAAAGCTTATCGGCTCTGCCGCAAGTAACTTCCAACGTGAATGTTCGGACGAATCCATAATTATGTATCTTAGAGCAAAGAATTGGAATGCTAAAAGAGCAGCCAAAATGCTGAAAGAGACCTTGAAGTGGCGAATGGAGTTCAAACCAGATAAGATCAGATGGGTAAGCCATTATACCATTCTTCCAAAATTCTTTTCAATGGAGTTCTTACCAGATGGGAATTTTTGTCAAATTTAACATCATTATAGTTATCGAATTAAAAGTTTATTCTGTGTTGATATGGAATGAATTGATGTAGCAGCAACTTTAATACAAGCATTTCTATTTAGAACATGATTAAGAGAGGAAAGTAATTCAATGGGAATGTTTGTTTAGCCATTTGATGCCATGTTTCATTTCAATAAGGTTTAGATAATTTAAGTTTGCTGTCACAGCCTATGATCCTTGAAAAGAATTGTTCTTTTTGTGCCAAATAAAATAAAAAGTGATAGTTGTAAAGCCTTGTTTATGCCTTAGGATGATGTCGCTCAAGAAGCTGCAACAGGGAAGCTTTACAGAGCCAATTATGTCGACAAACACGGAAGGACTGTGATCATCATGAGACCCGGACAACAGGTAAAGAAATAAATTCATTTCATAAATAAATACAACTGTCAAAATTGGTCGAATACGTCATATTGGCCCCTGCCTCACTTTAAAGGAGGGTTGGGTCGAGTCGAGTTTAACTTAAAATACGTCGTATAGGCCAACTGCGCTTTGTCCTACTAAAATTTACCAAATAGTAGTTGTGGGTTTTGATTAAGCATGTCAACTTATCTTGATAGTTCTAATTTTAAATTTTATCGTCTAAAGAAGTTTGAAATTTTGCATGGAGGATCCTTAGCCCCTTTAGGGTGTATTTCTTTTACCAAAAAATCGCAATTTTCTTTGAACTATACATTTTTCGAAAATAATACATATTTTCCTCACATAAAATATTTCATCATATATTATTTTAATACAAAATCTAAACCATAATTTTTTAAACTAAATCATCCTCACATTCATGATGTATGCATTATGTGTGTATGTATACCAATACATATAAACTTTTGTATGTATAAACACATAGTGTGGGAGTGTGCGGAAATTCTATGTTTTAGCTATATATATGATTTAAATTCATTAAACCATGTATAAAATTATAAAAATAGAATAGAATTATTTTTATTAGAACTATCAAAATGAATTGAATCAACTAGATTGGCGTATTCTCCTTGTGATTCGCTCAGCCAAAACCCGACAAAATGTGGGTTGTGGATTAATATAATTTGCCTATGGATCAGCACCCGAGTTCTGTCAAGGATCAAATCAAATGCTTGGTGTATTGCTTGGAGAATGCCATAGAAAATCTACAAAACGATCAAGAGCAGATGGTGTGGTTAATCGACTTCGAAAATTGGAACATGGCTTGCATATCCGTCAAGATAACTCGCGAAACAGCTCGAATATTGCAGGATCATTACCCCGAGAGGCTTGGCGTCGCAATCCTTTATAATCCTCCTGTTGATGTAATTTTTCAACAAAAATAAAGTAAAATTCAAAGATATAGAAAATATCCTTAAACTTGATTAATTAGTGCCTGAGATTAGGAATCTCTAAACACTGTACGGTACATAAAATAAACTGGAAAATAAAATACTGAAATTTAAAGTGGTGATCCCCAAATCTGACTTTGCTTTGTTGAAGTTGATTGAAGATGCCTTGCCAAATGATGATCCAAATCCTTAAATATTCCCTGGGAAACCGTACTGAAAACCGTCACCCGAACGGTTACAACGTCTCCTTCTCAACCGTCTTCCAACCTTTCTCATGCTGACACGTGTCCCCAGCAGACCAAAATTCCCTATATTTCACTCCTTGAGCCGACCACAGACCTTCCGCTCTTTTGGCCCGACTTCGTCCTTCGTCCGACCTACTTCTTCGCCCGACCCCACTTGGGCCGACCTCCATATCAACCGCCCCCTGTCTTTGATCAAAGGCCTCCGCGTTTGTCCGACTCCGCCTTCTATCCGACCTACAGTTTACCCGACCTGCGGATATCCCATCTCGACGACTTTCCGTCTCGAGGACCTCCCGACTTGAAAACCTTCCGACCCATCGTCTTTCCGTCTTGCGGACCTCCCGACCTGAAGACCTTCCGACTTGAGGTCTTTCCGTCTTGCGGACCTCCCGACCTGAAGACCTTCCGACTTGAGGTCTTTCCATCTTGAGGGCCTCCCGACCTGAAGACCTTCTGACCTGAGGTCTTTCCGTCCTGAGGACCTACCGTCCTGAGGTCCTTCCGTCCTGAGGACCTACCGACCTGAGAACCTTCCGTCCTGAGGTCTTTCCGTCCTGAGGACCTACCGACTTGAAAACCTTCCGACCTGTATTTTCCTTAGAAATAAATAAATTTATTTTCCTTGATTTCCTCACGGTGTCCTTCAGCCAGTTCAATCAACCCTATTGCCAGGCCCACTCTTCTTTTTACCTTGGGCTTTTAACCTAATTCTAAATTTCGTACGTAACAACTTGCCCGCCGCCAAGGGACTTTCAAACGCCATTTAACAATCAATGTTTGGAAGTTCATAAAGCACTACCTTCTTGAAAAACTCCCTTAGCAACTACACCAGTTACTGCAATACTCCTGGTTAACTTCCTTCTTCGCAATACAAGCCTGTGTGAATCACAATCCCAAAACATTCTAACTATGGCGAATCAATACATTCCTGCCCTTCCTTTCGACGGAACCCTTCCAGAAGGTCCATTTTCAGCCTCGAAAGTACTAACTCCGACGATCCGTCCATATTGCACTACTCCTGAAGATTCAAATCGGATGAGGGAAGTTCTGGAATCTCGCAACTCCTTGGCTATCAACAATCCCAACTACCAAGCAGTTCGCATCCGAGACAGCATCAAGACCCATCTCACAGACCCAAAAGATCTGTATCGTGCTTGGTATCGACGAGTAGCAGAACACTTCCAGACCCAATGGCGATCCCAAAAGATCGACCAAGCAATACTACTGTCCACCATGCCTATCAACCTGCATGAGAAGGTGCTGTTGGCCATGTCCGCCTTCTGGAATGCGGAAAATGGGACTTTCCTTTTGCCATCGGCCCCCTTTGGCCCAACTCTTATGGACGTGGCCATGATCGCACATCTCCCAGTCGTGGGTGAAGACCCTGTAATGGGAGCCCTAGATGGGCAGGAGCCATCAGAAGACCATCCGGGATGGTCTTTACAATGTGTGAAGGAATGGGGTTGGACAAAGTTCGCAACCGACCAGCAAGGGGCTCCAGGGACCCCTGTAACCGACCGGGAGCATACTGCCTTTATTCTGTTCTGGCTTTGTAGGTACGTCATTGTTTCCCCTTCCAAAAGTGTTCTTCCTTCTCACCTCGACCTGGCCATTCATATTGCGTCAGGTCGGTTCTTCTCCCTTGGTACTCTATTTTTAGCCAATCTGTTTGAAGGACTCACCAAGGTTAGCCTTCGTTTAACAGATAACGATAATAGGAAATTAGACACTGCCGCGTCGGGTCCTTTTTGGTTTTTAGAACTTTGGTTCCGTCTTTACTTCCCCAACGCGTTTAACTTAGGATCTCCGCCCACTATGCCAACATCTGAAAAACATTTAGGATTAGTCCTCAACCGACTCTGCTCAGGACGCAATAAACTCCAATCTTCCGATCCAATAATAACCGCCATTTTAACAGATACCCGCAGTAACTCTCGATTTTCTATGTATAAAAAGTATGCGGGTTATGCTCCCGACCATTTTTGGCCCTTTCCAGTACCAAACCCGCTTCCGACTCCTGAGCCTTGTCCTCATCCCACCTATCCTTTTGCCTGGGACGTCGCCCTCAAACCCAGGTCTCTTTTTAGTAGCAAGAAACTTGATAAAAAAGGGCAGAAAACTTTTTACACTTTTAACTATGAACCTCAATTCATGGCGCGCCAGTTCGGCTGTTGCCAAGGTATCCCTGGACCCGTCGCGTGTCCCCAAATAATTTTTCAAAGTCCCGACCGACGAGTCCTTCCTAATTCAATCCCTTCTTATATCTCCCAGCTCACCACGTATATAATTTCCAATTCTTATATTCCTTTCCGTTCCAACCCTGAGATTGTAGATACTTTCAATGAATGGTGGTCGGTTATATGGTCCCTGATATCCCCTGATGAGGGTCGGTTGCTGAACATACTCCTCCCCCCCCAAGGATTGGTTCTAGGGGCGGCGAGACATACTATCACCCAACAACAAACAACCGCCCCGGGAATCGGATCTGGTGGTCCCACGCGCAAAAGAAAAACTTCCCAGCTGCAAACACCCCCGACCTCGGGGACCGACCAGCAAACACTAGCAGACCTTGGAATAAATAGGACGTCAGCAAGGACCCGACCCCGAATTGGTAATGTTTCTTAACACCGTGAACCAATTCACTATATCGTAACTTTGATTTTACTCATTTCATTCACCAGAACCGACCTTGGTGACACCGACCATGCAACCGACGCCAGCACCAACCGACCATTCAATCGGGCCTTTGGTCCAGACCAATTTGCCAATGAGCAGTCGGGCGGAGGACCCGACGCGGAGGCAAACTCTTCCTCCCGTACCGAGGAGTGGTCGGGCCAGGCCCCCGACCAGGAGACAATCTTTACCAGCAATGCCTATAGAACCAGTAAGTTCCTTTATCAGCAAGACTTAGGATTCGGACGATCAACCTTAATATATTTAACAACAAACATCTTCATGATTTTTCCACAGACACCTTCACCCATCCCATCAGCAGCAGGGGTTTCTTCTGACAGCGAGGGGACTGCTTCCCAGATGGGTCGGCCGCCATACATGGCATCAGACTCAGCTATGTCAAAGGAAGAACCAGCCGCCCTCGCCGAAGCTGACCCTCAAAACGACATCCCTGATGCTGCTGATCCCGAAATCGAAGGTGCCCCAGAGATCCTGGCTGCAGTGATTCTAGATGTAGCCGTCCAACCTGCAGCGGCGCTCCCTCTAGCCATCGAATGGCAGGCAGAAGAACCACCTGTGGCAGCCCAACCTGCCATAACGTTTCTTTCGAAAAACACTAACTGTTTCAAATACTACTTTCCATAGGGACCCAGGTCGGCACCTCAGCGACCATTCGCAGCAGCCGACGAGTCGGCTGCTGTTATACCAGCTGTCTGCCCAACTCGACCGACCTCATTGCTGCCCCCCTCACTGACAGCAGTCCGCCCAGAGGTACCACATATTTTCTCCGAACAAATTTGCAACTCCCTTGGAATATTTATTGACATTGTAGGACTTGCAGGGGCCTTCGGACTTAGCTGTCCTATCGACTGTTCCGGTTCCAGCGGAGGCCCAGACTGTGTTCACTGAGGCCATTAACCGTCCCCTGTCCGAATTAAGGTCCGACTTATTGGACAAGCTCATTCAGATGGTTGGTGGCCTTCTTTTTTACACTCCAACGGAATCACCAGCCGTCTCCATTCTGCATCGGCTGATGGAAAGACTTACAGAGCTCAAGACTGAAGTGCTAGTCATTGGACTCCTGTCAGCCGAAACCCCCCAGCCCGACTTCGATCAAACAACGCTGGAGAATTCTTTGGCTAAGACCCGAGAATCTCTTCAGCAGACTACTGGAAGGCTGGGTGGTCTCCTTAGCACGAAAGCTCAAGTTGATGAAGCTATTCAGAAAAAGGAGGCAGAATTACGGGAGCTGAGGAAAGAACAGTCTACCCTGGATAAGCAAATTACCAATGAACAGCGTCTGCTTGAGAAGTATACCAAAAATGAGGCTGAATTGGATCAAGAGCTGAAAACCCAAGCCCGATCCCAATTCATCATAAGATATCAGACGGCTGCCAATACCAGAAGGCTATCCAGGGATGAAATCAAATGGACCCATATAAAAACTGCCCTAGGGGCATTGTTGTAATATTTTCCCCTCTGTAACCACGTTTGACTTAGTAATCCATTTTTTCTTTCGTCTCACAAAACAAGGATCACCTTTCAATTTCCAACTTTGTAGGAATAGAAACAAACTCCTTCTTTAAAAGAACATTGTTTCTCACATTTTAAGAAACACATTCCAAGGCATATTTTGAAAATCACAACACTTAAAGTGTTAACAAACATGGCGAATGACCGACCTTATGTTCCATCAAACAATTGGCAGGGTGTTCTTCAACCCTTCTTTGTGGGTAATCACCCTATTGGAGGCCATGCAGAAGACTTGTTACATATACTCAAGCAACTAGACTTCAAATTCCGATTCTCCCAACGAGGAAGAAGAACCATTCATCGCGTCATCCGCCTGATGGAAAAAATCATTGAGGGGTATGAACCTCTTCGTGACATCCTTAGCCGCATTCCTGATCTCCATCACCACATGGAAATGATAGAAAATCACGCAGCAACTATACTTCCAGATCTTGGTTGGGATAACATCTTTTCCAACCAACGAAAAGTCTTCTCAAGATTACGGACCATTGTTGATCGTGAACATCAAGCCATAACAGACATGCAAGCACGTACCCATCAAGATTTAGATGAAATGCAAAGCCAATGGGAAAGGTACCGACCAGATTTGGAAGATCTTATTGAAGAAGAACCAGAGCTAATATCCACTCACTGGGATGAAAAGTCTGATTCAGAGGCAGAAAATTTCTCACAACTACACGATGACTAACAGAAATGAACCTTTCCGTAGGTTCGAACCCCACAAATGGGTTCTGAATAATATTTTGTTTCAGGCAGTCTTGTTATCTGAAAAGGCAGGATAATACCTCTTCAGATATTTAACATTAATACAATCATGTACTCTTCTACCTTCATGATTTACAATAATGAACGCGCCATTTCCAATATCTTTTTGAACAATGTATGGTCCTTCCCAGAACATTAACTGTTGGTGCAAGGTTGATGGCACACATTGAGAGGCATGAATCCAATCTCGTCCCAGCAAAAGAGAGTATGTAGTATCTGCGTCCACAATAAAGAAAACAGTGGAAATTTTCTTTGGTCCGACCTCAATGGTGGCAACCATCATACCTTCAGGCTTGGTCGGCTGCCCTGTAAAACTTGTCATTTCGAATTCCACAGGGGACAGATCATGAATTCCTTTCCCTAGCTTCTTGAGAGTCTTCAATGGCATAACATTAAAGACTGCTCCATTATCCACGAAAACCTTTGTGATTGGTTTCCCACAAATGTGAGCATTAACATACAGAGGTTTCAAATGGGAGTTCGCACCCTCTGGAATAGGAGGAAACACAATTGAAGGTGCTTCCGACTGAGGCTCAGAATCTGTAATCTTTGCCCACTCTGTTTCCTCTAATTCGTCATCTGCCAAGAATGCCCATAAAGGTTTGTCCATAGTATCATCTACCAGACTCGCCCACGTCGGTTCATCACTCATCTGGTTAATCTCTGTCATTCGACAAGGGATTCGTGGTCCCAGACGAGATTTAACAGATCTTGAATTTTCCTCTGTAGGTACCACTTCTTCCTTCGTCTTATTTCGAGATTGAACCGTCAAGGATTCAATACGGAATTCTTCAAGAGATGGATTGATGTTGATCCGTTCACAATATTGGCATCTAAAACCTTTAATTATTTCATCTGCCATTCCTTTACCTTTCCCCTGTCCCGACGAACTTCTTTTGGTATAGTCGGAAGCTCCTAATCCGTCCTTCGGTTGCTTTCCTGACCAGACCCGACTGGACCGAATTATTGGAGACTGAATGGCCGCTCCCTGCTCGTCGGTCGTTTGTTCTGTAAAGACTCTAATGGACTGATCTCCTGTCAAGTGGTCGGCTGCATTTTGTTCGTCGGTTCTTTGTTGTACTGCAGGAACTCGTTTCCCATACTTTGCAGCATACCTGCGTTTGGCATTGCGAATCTGTGTACGATTCATACCTGGGAAACGAGGATCTATATCAACGGGTAAAGGTTTTTTATTTCGAGCCCAATCGTTCCCGACTGAACCCGTTTTTCTGGTCGGGTGGTCTCGCACTAAAACCTTTTCCTTCACCTCCACATTAAAAGAACCGTCTGGACGGTCCCATTTTTCAGCGACTGCCCTTTCAACAACTTTGAGTCGTTCTTCCGGTCGGCTGCTGTTTGGCTGATTCCCTTTCTTTGTTCCGGGACTTGCCTGAGTTTGCTCCCCTGTTTGTCCACTATTGACCGAACTTTTCCTTGTTTCCGAACTTGGTTGGATGTCAACCATTGCAGTTGTTACTTTCGGAAACGGTTGCTGGTCTACACCTAGAGTGATGTATTTGAGCCGACCTGTCTTGATGGCCTTTTGAATTTCCTTCCTGAAATGAGTACACTGACTTGTATTGTGTGTGAAAGAATTATGCCATTTACAATATGGTCTCCCCTTGATTTCTTCTTTAGTGGCCAATCTTTGCCCCTTTGGAATACGGATCTGCCCATCAGTCAATAAGATATCAAAGATTTCATCAACTTTCGAACTGTCAAAAGTCGGTTGCTCCTTTCCTTCAGATCCTGGTACTGGCTTCAATTTAGGGCAGACATAAGGTTTTCCAGAAAGGATTTCGGCTGCCATCTCTTCTGACTAATTAAAATCAAAGTCACATGTTTCTGTTCCCATACTCGCCATATGTTGGCCTCTATTACGCCTGTTATGCTGATCTTCCTCTCTGAACAAAGACTCTAAACGTCCTGCCTTGGATGTAAGACTTGCCAAATCCTCAACATCTAGGGCAGTGAGTGCCTTTCTTAAGCGAGTATGCATATTCCGGACCACTAAATTGGTCACCTCTTTTTCACTGATTACCGTAGGACATCGTCCCTTCATCAATCGCACCCTTTCGATAAACTGTGAAGCAGTTTCTTCTGGATACTGTCTCAATTCAAGTAAATCAGTTAAAGAAACAACTGGTAAAGGATTGAAGAATCTAGCGTGAAATGCCATCTCCAGTCCTTCCCATGTCTGAATTTGTCCAGGAGGTAGACTTACAAACCATGAAAACGCCGTTCTGGTAAGAGACAAACCAAACAGCTGTAACTTATAAAAAGGGTTATTGCCAACTTCTCCTAATTGTGCTGTGAAACGACCAACATGTTCTATGGTGGAAGATCCGTCCTCCCCTGAGAATGCATGAAAGTCGGGTGGTCGAAAATTCCTTGGGAGAGGGTGTTCATGAATGATCCTTTCTGGGAAAGGTCTTTGATATGCAGGGCGGTTAGCCATCTGAGGAGTTAATCCATACTGATCCCTTAATATATGTGCAATCTCATCAGGATCTACATGAAAGCGTTGATGATCAGGAACCTGGAACGGATCCTGCACAGGAATATGAATCGGATCATGTATATATCCTTCAGGCCTGTCCTCCCTTGTATTGTTCGGCTGCGAATTGGTAACCCTTGGTCCCAGTGGAACATTGTTGGGAAAAGTCAAAGGAGTTTTTCCCCGATCCATTCGGTTGGGATTTGTGGCACTTGGGAATGTACTGTCCACGAATGATGGCCCCGCGAAATTTGCCTGTTGTCTGGATGGTGATACTCCTGGTGGAGTTTGAGTGGGTTGAAGACTAACCCTTGACAGTGCTTGATCTATCATGTTCTGCATCAGACTCTGTTGCTCACGCAACATGTTCGTTTGTTGCTCACGCAACATATTCTGCATAACCAAAGTATGCTGGTTGTTCATTTGTTGAACATAAGACCACCAATCAGTTGGTGGTTGTGGGATTTCCCCGGCATTTGGCACAATAGGTGGTGGAACGGATTCTCCCACCGGTGCCGAAGATGATTGCGGTTGTGAACCTGCCATAACCCTTCCGATGATTCGGCCGGATCTAAGACGTATGAAATTATCGCCGGAATTGGAATGAGCAATTTTGTCTTGCTCCCACTGTGGTCGCCAATTTGTTGATGTAATTTTTCAACAAAAATAAAGTAAAATTCAAAGATATAGAAAATATCCTTAAACTTGATTAATTAGTGCCTGAGATTAGGAATCTCTAAACACTGTACGGTACATAAAATAAACTGGAAAATAAAATACTGAAATTTAAAGTGGTGATCCCCAAATCTGACTTTGCTTTGTTGAAGTTGATTGAAGATGCCTTGCCAAATGATGATCCAAATCCTTAAATATTCCCTGGGAAACCGTACTGAAAACCGTCACCCGAACGGTTACAACGTCTCCTTCTCAACCGTCTTCCAACCTTTCTCATGCTGACACGTGTCCCCAGCAGACCAAAATTCCCTATATTTCACTCCTTGAGCCGACCACAGACCTTCCGCTCTTTTGGCCCGACTTCGTCCTTCGTCCGACCTACTTCTTCGCCCGACCCCACTTGGGCCGACCTCCATATCAACCGCCCCCTGTCTTTGATCAAAGGCCTCCGCGTTTGTCCGACTCCGCCTTCTATCCGACCTACAGTTTACCCGACCTGCGGATATCCCATCTCGACGACTTTCCGTCTCGAGGACCTCCCGACTTGAAAACCTTCCGGCCCATCGTCTTTCCGTCTTGCGGACCTCCCGACCTGAAGACCTTCCGACTTGAGGTCTTTCCGTCTTGCGGACCTCCCGACCTGAAGACCTTCCGACTTGAGGTCTTTCCATCTTGAGGGCCTCCCGACCTGAAGACCTTCCGACCTGAGGTCTTTCCGTCCTGAGGACCTACCGTCCTGAGGTCCTTCCGTCCTGAGGACCTACCGACCTGAGAACCTTCCGTCCTGAGGTCTTTCCGTCCTGAGGACCTACCGACTTGAAAACCTTCCGACCTGTATTTTCCTTAGAAATAAATAAATTTATTTTCCTTGATTTCCTCACGGTGTCCTTCAGCCAGTTCAATCAACCCTATTGCCAGGCCCACTCTTCTTTTTACCTTGGGCTTTTAACCTAATTCTAAATTTCGTACGTAACACCTCCCAAAGTTTTTGAATCATTTTGGTTGGTACGTTTCCTCAATACTTTTGAAGCATCGACGTATATTTTCGCCAGAGATTCAATCCTAAACTTTTCTTTCTTCATATTGAAGTTGGTGAAGCCTTTTCTCGAGCCAAAAACGTTCAAGAAGGTAAATTTCGTATACTCAAATCAGCCTCATACGATTAAAATAATGGAAGCTCTATTCGACATGGACAAACTGGAAACTATATTTGGCGGGAAAGGCGAGGAAAGCTTCGACTTTGAAGCGTATGCAAGTCGCATGAAGGATGAAGATAACCGAAAATTTGATAGCAAAGACTCGAGCAAAGGCAACCAACAAGACTCCAACTTGTTTGCATCAGACATAGACTCTGAAGTCTCTGAAGTCGGCTCTTCACATCACTGTGAACAATATGTGGACTTGGAAAGTCCGGAAAAGATAGAACCTTAGCCAAATGATACAAAAAATGAATGCCAAAGAAAATTCGAGATATGCTCAACGGCGAATTCGACTCTGCTCGATAAAAACTCGATCTAATTCAAAGTATTATTTTTATTATTTTTATGTCTCACTTAAAAGTATCTTAGAGAGAATAATTAATACTCCTTTGGTCACAATTTAAGGTATTATTTTTTTTTTTGTAAGATAATATTTTCGTAATTTTCGTTTATCCAAATATCTATTTCCTATTTTACTTAAACTACAAATTTATACATAAAATTAAATATATATATATATATATATCAAAATCTTATAAAGGGAGTACCATTTTTTTTTAATGGCAGCCAATTAGTCAGTCCGCAAGAATCACGCCTCATGGTATTGCTGCTCTTTTTTTAAAAAAAATGTTATATTCTGTAACCAAACAGTACCTTAGTAGCGGAGGGTTTAAATGGTAGTTTCTATCCATCAGCTTCACCAACGAATCCTTTTACCAAACCCTAATTTTCATCGCCAATCCATTGGGAGGAGGCTTCCATGGCGATCTGGGAGACGGTAACACATTCGATCGACGCCTACACCGGTTTGTCGCCGGCGGCGTTCTTCACGATACTGGCGCTCATGTTTGTCACCTACAAGGTGGTCTGCGGCATGTTTGTTGCTGCCGATGACTACGCCGCCGTCAAGAGAGGCTACGAGATTGCCATCCGCGAGCCGGTGCAGCTAGGCGACGTAACTGAGGAGGAGCTGAAGGCGTACGATGGCTCCGACTCGAACAAGCCCTTGCTCATGGCGATCAAAGGACAGATCTATGATGTATCCCGTTCCAGGTTCGTCAGTTAGCTCCGATTGAAATTTTGGTTGTGATATGGCTTTAGCGCGTCCAATTCAGATCCGCTAACGAAAATTCCCCTTCCTCTGTGTGTCTGCAATTTTTTCTGTCAATTGTTGGAGAAATGATAGAAGAATTCATCATGAAAGTGATTAGTACTTTGCTTAATTCAACTGAATAGTCAGTAATAGATACGTATAACATCTCATATCGAGTTCTAGTTAAAGTTAGTGCTTATGTTGTTTGTAACATGAATATGATCGACTTAATGAATTGATTCGGTTGGAGAAGTTAATACATAGAATCAGCATTTGGCATTGAAACCAGCTAGAATTCATTGTGGATGATAATTGATAAGAAAGAGAAATCGAGCTAAACAGTGTGAATTTTTTATTTTTTATTTCCAAAACAGAGAATTTTGCTCGACTTTTGATTATGATAATGAAAGCAGAAATTGCTATAATTGCCTTACTAGAATCTCAAAATGGGAATCATTGGTGAAAACTTAAATGAGAAAAAGGAAATGTTCATAAGCAGACTATCGGGATCAACATGCCTTGTCTATTTTTTTCTGCTTTTAATGTGTTTTCTTGATTTGAATATGCTATTCTCAATCCTTGGGTGGGTATCAGCTGTTGTTTTGTGCTAAGGATTGTTGTTTAACCTTTTTTTTCATTTATTTTCTGCTTTTAATGTGTTTTCTTGATTTGAAATTGCTATTCTCAATCCTTGGGTGGTTATCTGCTGTTGTTTTGTGCTAAAGATTGTTGTTTGGCCTTTTTTTTATTTATTTTCTTGCATTTAATTTTCGAATAATAGTTTTTTAACTGTTCTGTGCATTGTTCTGATTCTAATCATGCACTAAGGGATTGATGCACATGAAATTGTGCCTTTGAGGATTGTGGAGAAATGGGATTCAATATAGTGGTTATATGTGTTGCTATATATAAAGTGATGAAACACTTGCAACCACTACAGCTATGTTTTGGATTAGTTTTAGATTTGAATTTTTTGGAATAGAAAATAATAGTAGTTAAATGTGCTGTCTTATATAGAGCCTGTGTTGAAATAATGTTTGGAAAAGGCTTTTTGCCGTAGATTGCTTAAAGTTTAGCTGTTCAGAATGATATGATTATGAAAAGGTGTTGAAAACACAAATGAACAAAGCCTACATGTTATCTACCCCATTATGCCTAATTATAAATGTATGTAATACTCCTTCCGTCCACGAGATATAGTGTTGAAGGGTATAAATTAAAGTATGTGTAAGAGTTTTTTGTTATTAATGGAAAGAAAATATATATATATATATATGGCGAACAGATGGAGTATTGATTTACTATGTAGCAAAAATATAAGGAGAATGACAAGTAGTTCGATTTGATGTTATCCCAGGATGTTCTACGGACCCGGTGGACCGTACGCTATGTTTGCTGGAAGGGATGCAAGCCGAGCTCTGGCCCTCATGTCTTTCGACCCAAAAGACCTCACGGGGAATGTTGAAGGTCTAAGTGCTTCCGAGTTGGAAGCTTTGCAAGAATGGGAATATAAGTTCATGGAGAAATACGTCAAGGTTGGTCAACTAGTTTCAAGAAATATCTCAGAGTCGAAACAAAATGAGATCGAGGGGGAAGCAGCAACCGAGTTCAAAAATGAGGAAAAATCCACCGGAGGAAATGAGGCGCAGTAGGACACATCTGTGACAAGGTACAATCGCAATGTCTCTCGGATTTTGACCATTATATAGTCTGTTTAGTCATGTATAGAAACAAAAATGACACAAACTTGAATAACTTGCGATCATTTAGTTAGCCGGGGGATTTGAATTCGAAAATTTAACTTATAATCTGTATGTATTGTGAGAAGCATTTGTGGTCACTGAAGTTCAGTTTATAGCTATGCTATCTATGGTTCTTTTCTTTATTTATTTGCATCAGCAGTTACATTTTTTTTTCTAAATGTAGGTATAAATATTACCTCTGTCCACTGGTTTATACTAGGGAAAATTTGACCTGACCTGATAACCCGACTTGAACCTGACTCGAAATAATTGGGTATAGGTTGAGATTTTTGACCCAATTAATAATTGGGTCAAATTAGTTTAACCCATATAATTAAATAGGTCATGTTTAGGTCCAAATTTTCAACCAAAAATAATCTGTCTAACCTATTTAATTAATATTACTTTAAATTTAAATATATTTTTTAAATTTTACTAATTCAATTCAAATATTCATGGCCAACTTATAAAAATAAAACAAAATAAAATTTAAGCTAAAATTTGACTCTTGAAATCGATTTTAATGATATAAATCAATAGTTTTTGCTTTAATATGTATATATATTATGCATTTGAAAATTTTGTTAGTAGAAATTGAAATTTTAAATTTAAATTTAAAAAATTTAGACTTAAACAGGTTATAGAAAAAGGTCGGGTTAAGATTGCATATATCAACTCATTTAATTGAATAGGTCAAGTTCAGATCAAAAGTTTTCTAATCCGTCTATAGCCGACCCGAACTCGACCTGATTTGTTTGCGAGCTCTAGTTTATACTAATAAAACAGTAAGGGGTGGCTTGGTGACCGCAACATCAAACTTGTGACACCTCCGGCCGTTCAGAAATACAAAATGAATAAACTCAATAATGATAATAGAAAAATGGCAATATTACACATGCAATTCAATTATTAAGATGAGATTTGTTTCCGCTTCACTCATGAAAACTGCAAAATACGACATATAGAAAACAAATTATACATACACAATAAAACCTCCTCCGTATCCAACAGCACAGCAGAGCCCCAAATAGTCTACAAATGTGAAAAAACCAGCACAATTTTGCCGACTTTACCTCTAAAGAACCATTGCCGCAATCGAGCACGGCTTGCTGATATACTCATAAACCAGTCGATAGACACAGGATATATCGAACATCATGCAAAAGGATTTCTGCTAATTGATGATGCAACAGGCCCTTGCCCATGCATATTTCTGCCAAAAGGCCGTAATGTTTGTATGAGATGAAATAATGTATTTTCATAAAGAATCGCAGTTTGCATAGTAAAGAAACTGAAACTTACGGTATCTGGGCATATGGTGCTTGTCCGGCCATAAATCCCAACGACCCTGAAGAATAAATTAAAGCATCGATGATAAGGTGTGTAATACAAGAACTATGGAATGTTTTGATAATATAATATGTATGTAATAATAGGATGGCGAAAAGTACCCGTGGTTGAATCAAAAGAAACTCCACCAGGAACAGAGGTATAGAGTGGGATTGAAGTTTCAGGAAACCACGATTCGTGTACTCCGATATGGGAAGCAGCCGGGATTTGGCCAGTCGGTAAAGCACCTTGCAAAGAGCTCACATTCCAAACCTGAGAATTGAACTGAAAGCATTTCACCGTTTTCTCGCCTCCATAAAAGAGTTTTCGAGCAGGAGAGAAAAAAAAAAGAAAAGAAGAATTCCAATATCCTCTGTAAAAGATTTAACTTCATGTGTTTATCTCTAGATTTAGATCTGTAGTAAACTTATTTAATGATAACTGATAAATTATGGAGGTGCTATTGGTTAAACCCGATCACTTCTCTAAATAATCTGTAGTATCATACTCGGGAATGCTCAAAATTGTATATAGCTAGAAGAAATATGAACTCCATGTATTTACTAGATACGTACGTACCTTATTGCCCGAGTCTACGTCAGAATCAAAGGGAATGTCAAATGGATTGGACGGCTTTAGGGCCGTTGCAAATGGATAGGTATCAGCCTGCACACAGAATTGTCATTGAATAAAAAAAACTTAGTAGATTGTCCGGAAAATCGAAGAGACCCTGAGATTGTGTGAGTCTTTATAAGTTTTTACCACTGCTGATGCTACGGGAAAATCATTTGGTCCGGTCTCATTTGTGGTTCTTAAGTAGTTGTCGCTACCCTTCGCCTGCACGAAAGGATATCAGATAATCTATTCATGAAAACACCTTTTACCTGATTCACAGCTGATAGTAGCAACCTGGTGTGCGCCGAAACCAAGGTATTTATTTGTTTCGGGTTGTTCATTATTCTGCGCAAAATTTTGGATGAAGCGTTCGCCGGTGGAATTGCCAAATGCGCTCCATAGCTGTAGAAAATTTAAGCAAAGTTACATTTCCAGAAGTTCAAAATAGTTCAAAGGAAAATGATATAAAAAAATCCCAGTAAAGACGAATAAATTACCTCAGTGTGATTAACAGCAGCTTCTACATTCTGTAGGCAATCATGTCCAAAAGCATTCGTCATTGTTGGGGCCGAAGATTCGCGCTCGGAGGAATTTTGATGCAAACTCGTAGTAAAAGTAAATGGGTTCATCTTCGCCAAAATATCTTCATCAGAAGATGGCAATGGGGGAGGGGCAGATTTGTCAGTACCCATAGGCATCGGATTCTTCGGTATATCAAATGTTGCCCATCCTCCAGTATCTGGTGCTACGACATCAGAAGCGTTTTCGTTAAAAGAAGCAGAAGGTTGTTGCTGAGATAGAGCGGCGAACAAATCTAATGGTGGCTGAGATATTTGCGATGGCTTTTGCTCAGTGAATGAAGAAATCGAAGAAACCGGAGGCTGCAGCTCTATATTAACAGACTGAGCTAACAATTCGGATGGCAGCTGAGAATTACTACCGGTTTGAGGTGCAATATCGGCATTTTGTGAAAAAGGTGTACTGAAGAGGTCCAAACCATCAAATGTTGGGGATGTGGATGATTGCGGCAGTGAAGGAAGGGATACCGATTTTTCCAGGTGGATTTTATCAGGATTGGAGCCAACTTCAGGCAGGGGGTGCTCTGTAGATTTGAAAGACGTGGAATTGCCGGATTCGAAGCTTCCTGTAGACATAGTTCGCTGCACACAAGAATATCGAATTTAGAAGTCAGTGAATGAGCATTTTTAACTTACTTGCATGAAGATTAGTATACAATGTATCAATTTTAAGCTACCAATGTAACATGATGAGCTTTCAAAACATTCGAGCGTTTCTCATAGGCCATTTTTGAATGAATTATACCTAAAAACTCACAGTTTGATATCTTCATAATATACAGACAATGGGATGGGAGAAATCTCACCTGTGGATGCAATATTGTTCCTCTATTTGCACCTGAAATATGTGTCATTGTCTGAAGCTGTGGAACTTCTTCGGAGGTATTTCTTGAGTTCTCACTAGAAGGACTTCCAAAGTCTCCCCGAGAGACCGGAGATAACACATCAGATCTGAAAGGAGTACCTCCACCAGAAGCAGAATAATCGGACGCCCTGGGATGCGATCCCTCATTTGCAAACCCATCGTCGCTTAAATGAGTAGGACTTAAGAAACTAGCAAGCTTTCCTTCATAAAGGCCTCGATCTGAACCAGGCTTTCTAGTAAGTACCGGTGCATGTTTCCCATATTGGCGTTCTTCGTACTGAAAATCATATGGTGGACTTTGAGAGTAAGAATGGTACGAGCTAGCTCTCCTCATTTCGTCTTCATGGCTTCGTAAGCTCTATCAAAAGTAGTTCATGATCAAGTTAGTCCACAAGAAAACTTTAAACCATCTCAAATTCATTAACTTTTTGGATCTTCCAGTCCAGCAATACAACCTGCGGGTCTCTTGGAGGCCTATCAGACGATGTCTCCTTGGAATACACTTTATCCACATATACACTCTTTATGAACTCTCGAACTTTTTCAACATTGCTGCAACACAAAACAAATTAACACTTCAATCTTTAAGGAAAACCAATTGTATCATCTAATCAAGGTTTATAACTTCAACCTATTGTCCGGAACTCTGTTCCTTTGGGGGTCCCAGCCCTTCAAAAATAGCTCTCTTGCACGCTACAAGCGTTACGCCTTGTTAATATCATGGAAACTCATTTATTCATGTGTTAAAACAAACAAGGAGTTTCCATTTACCTGATTACCCCCTTTCTGAAGAGCATCCACCTCTTGAAAAGTAAATTTAGCCATGGAAACGGACTTGACACGATGTGTAAACTCACGGCTTTAACACAACACAAACACATTTTGTAAATACACAATGACTAAAAAAAGAAGAGAACTAAGAAAAAATCAAGATATAAAAAGAGATCTATCTCCTACTAATGACAATATTAATAACATCCTAGACAACAATTGGTTGTCAAAATGCAATAATCGAGTTATCCAGAAAGCAATTGTAATCTTAATTAAGTGCAAGATCTATCACACAATTAGACATTAAAGATTTAGCTAACCATCCTTTCAGCTGCTGCTTTAGTTACCTACCTAGTCACAAGTTTTCTGATGCACTTATGAGGTAAGCATAATTTTAAATTGATACATCCAACTTCTTGAATTAGATAGCATCTTAAAGTCCCTCCAGAATGAAGACTCCAAAAGTAGATAATCTCAGAAATATTTGTTTTCCTAGCATTTAATATTCCAAAGGTTCCTTATCAAAAAATCAATATTCGGATATTGCAAAACACCTTAACTCATTACTAAAAATGACTCTTTATATGAACATTGCTTCGAAATAACAGAATCTACGGCACAGTAAAGAACAAAAATTAAACACATCCAAAAGAAACGCAAACACTCACTGTATTCCACTGCATGTAGTGCAAATAAACGTCCAAAAATTTGTGCAGACATACTGCGGCCCCTGCATCCAAAAGTAAAAAAAAAAAAAAAAAAAAAGAAAAAAGAAAATCTATAATATGCAAAAAAGTAAAAATAAACAACAATCCAATTCCTGCAGACGATGAAAAATAAAATAAAATAAAATGCATCAAAGATGAATCTAAATCATATGCTCAAACTTACTTCAATTTTCTAACAATATCAATAGTTCAATACTCAGAGGTATAGTTTCTAAGATTCAGAACAACAAACTAATTGCACAATACAAACGATAGGAAATGAAAACACTATTGAAGCCAAAATATCAAAGAGCAACTTCAACATACACTACTGCACCCACCGAGAACACTAGTTTGTGTACAAAAGAGTCAATAGATTTGGCAAGAAGGCAACAAAAATTCAAAATCGAAAACGGTATAAATTAGCGAGGGGGAAACACCAATTTTACCAAGCTGTTGCAGTTAATGCATCTTCGATTGGGAGGGAGCTTCAGAAGACCCCTAATAATCTTCTCGTTTCGTTCTTCTTCTCTTTTGCTACTCATTGCTGCACAAATTCAACAACTCTGCCACAACTCAGCATACCATAACATCAAAAGGCGAAAACCGGAATCAATACTCCGAAATGAATCTGGAAGCTTAGAGCGAGAGTGGATTACGCTCCACAGTTGACGTAACGCAACTTCGAATCAGCTCTGTCTCTCCCTCTCCGCTCGCTCCTTTCAATTATGTGAATCATGACGTGGTTCTGTCATTATTGCTGCAGGGAAAATGCTACCGCCAGGATGGCACTTTGTCTGCTGCGCTTCGATGTGTTGTACATTATTATTTAATTGTTGTACGTTAACTGGAAGGATGAATTTTGTACTGTCGGTAGTACTTTTGGTTAAATTCGATGCAGTCCTTGAAGTTTTGTATTATTTCATATTTACCCCCATGGTTTTTTAAAATTTTAAATCTGTATGACAGCCAATATTTTGTTTATTATTATTAGTTCATTAATTTTAGTGATGCCAACGGGTTCGGAGTATATTTGAGTCCGGATTCAAATTCGATCCACTTATTTTAAATTTAATTAATTTATTTATTATAATATTTTTAGATAAAAATACATAAATTTTAATATATACGGATAACTTCGAATTTAATTTTTAAAAATTACAAAAAAAAATATTTGAAGTATGTGAATCTATCGAAATTATAAAATATATTTCAGGTAGGATCCGATAGCCGTATTCGGGTCGGATCTCTCGAGTCCGCCAAACCTGAACCTGACGATACGTCCCATTGTTAACCCTAATTAATTTAAGATTGCACAGAGGAATTTTAAAATTATGAGTTATTAATTTTAATTAATATGATTAATAATTGTGGATATTCGAGACGATTCGAATACGACAGAGCCCCAAATTCGATTCGTGACACATTCTGCTCCTACCGCCGGTTATCCTCTTCTCCGCTCTCTCCGATGGCTACGACGGTGTTCCGAACGCCGCCTTCTGTCGGTGCACCGGCGGCGTATCTATGCAGTGACGTTGGAGGTTTTTATAGTCGGAAACTCCCTCGCGGAGGTTGCTTTGAATGCGATAGATTGTCAGTATTGCGGTGTCGTGTTTACGGTGATCGTTGCTGGAGGAGCGTTATCAAAATGTCGACCCGGCCGGCTCCGAAATTCTTTACCTTTGCTGCTGATGGAGAAGCTATGGAGACCAAAGATGAAACGCTAGTGAAGGTTCGGGTTGAAGGATCGGAGACCGAATCCGAACCTGAATTTGAGGTAATTTTATCTCTAACTGCAATTGACGAGTCTTTTTGGTTGTTGTTAGTATTATTTTATTCGTGAAGTTGAATCATTTTATCCGCTGAGCTACTTCATTTGACTGCTGAATTTCTTGCAGAAAGTTTGGTTGTTTGAGGACAGCAAATTAATTATTAGTTGCTTCTTATTTAATATCTATCGCTTTTTAATGGCGTGAGCAGCTTGTGATTGCGTGCACGAATGTGAGCTGATGAACTATTGTCAAGTTTTGGAAGTAGAATGTGACAGTGGTTCGGAATACTCTTTGTTTCCTGTAGATTTATGGTGAACTGATGAATCTGCTCTTGCTTTACTTAGGCAAGACTCTTTGTTTCATTTAGAACTAACATATTTTTATTATATATATATATATATATAATTATATACATTTCATGTGCGTATACAGAAGATAATAATGATGGAAAAACATGTCCACTGACTTGATCCTCAACTTCAAAATGTCTACCAATGTTTTTCTTGAAAAATAAATAAATGATCTCTTGATCAGTGGTGCTGTTGGATGAACTATTTTCTGTATATTTATTGATTTGATTTATATACACAAGTGACTTATTTACAACATTATATCCCGATTATATTGTGTAAATTAACACAGCTTGCATATATTGATTGTATTTTCTTGCTCCGTATACAAATTTTACATTGCAATATTGGGGGTTGGAGCTCTAATAATGATGATTATATGCAAACTGTGTTCTTACTTTTTGCCTCATATAATTGTTAATGCTATGGGGGGAAAATCATGTATAGGTGGTGAGAACAATGTTAGTACTTTGCTAACATACAGAAAACTGGAGCTATTGATGGATGTGTGGAGTTGAATTTTTCAATTAATGATCCAAAGTTGGCTTGATTTTTACTGGGCTAGAGCTCAATAAGCCTTCTATATAAAATTTTGAGCTGACTTTGAACCTAGTGTATGTCTTAGGCGGCGGTTAGGGTTATATAGAATATTACTAAGTTAGCATATTAACTTGAAACAATTAGCAAATCGTCACAAGACAAATAGTATATATTGTGTTATATAATGTACTATATATTATATTAATATTTGTTACTTTTTTATAGACATTTTTTGTTTGGATCAAACTCTATTGGGTTGAAATCAAAATATATTTTGTTAAAATTAGGAAATATTTTGCTACATTAATTATAGAATGTGCTATATATTATATCAATATTTGTTATTTTCTTTATAGACATTTGTTAATTGGGTACGTTGATTTGACCCAATCAGCATAGTAACAGACCGGTATGGCTAAACCCTATTGAGGGCCATGAAATGTTGCATTTGTCCGTGCTTCGCTTGAAGTTACTGCACTGAATGACGAATACCATAATTTTCTCTTGTCATCTGAAGTGTTAGACATAGAATGGTGTTTTCCTACATTTGTAGATGCTGGTGGTTTGTCTATGACGAATGCTCCTATATATATATAGGTATGGCTAAACCCTATTGAGGGCCATGAAATGTTGCATTTGTCTGTGCTTCGCTTGAAGTTACTGCACTGAATGACGAATACCATAATTTTCTCTTGTCATCTGAAGTGTTAGACATAGAATGGTGTTTTCCTACATTTGTAGATGCTGGTGGTTTGTCTATGACGAATGCTCCTATATATATATATATATATATATATTGATTACTGCAACTATGTAAGATGCATTTAACAAGCTGGTAACCAAACATATAATACAATCGTTAGTTTCATTTATTCACATTATAGTTGTACTCAATATAGCAGTTATTGCTAGTGAAAATGGTAACGAACAGAGTTTGTTAATATATTTTCTAGCAAGAAATAACATTACTCTTTTCTTCACGACTAAAAATCTTTATTTTTATCAACAGTGGAACATTGATGAAGCAGTTGAGGTGGATGCTTCTAGTGAGAGTGATGATACAGTTGTAGACGAGAATACTTCTTCAACTATAGCTTATTTAAATTTATTGAAAGAGGCTTTAGCAAGTAAAGATGAGGCAAAAGTCACTGAAGTAGAATCCCTTCTTAAATCCCTTGAGGATGAAAAAATTGATCTTGAGAAGAGACGGATTGCGCTATCTGAGGAGTTGTCGTATGCAAAAGTTCTGGTTATTAGAATCAGTTCCGAGTTTGATAGCTTCCGAAAGAGAATGGAAAGGGAGCAGCTTTCTGTAGTTTCAAATGCAGGGGGCGAAGTTGTGGAAACTTTGCTGCCCATTTTGGATAGTTTCGAGCGAGTTAAAGCCGAGATCAAAGTGCAAACTGAAGGAGAGGAGAAAATCAATAACAGTTATCTTAGTATAAACAAGCAATTTGTGGAAATCCTTGCATCCCTCAACGATGTTCCTGTCGAGACAGAGGAGAAACCATATGATCCGACGGTAAGTTCCTTGTGTCTATATAATCTTTTATGGATACTTTACCATCTCCTGCCAGCATTAATTTTGATATAAATGTCGATTTCTCAAATTAAATTAAATTAAATTTCTTCAAGTACATCAAGGTTTCTTTAGTTGCGTAATCCTTATCAATAGCCTGTCAAAGTCAGATCATTCCCTCGATGCAGGGAGGCGTCCGATTTGGCTCAGGATTCAGTCAAGCAATCAACAAACTTGTTGAGAAGTTGCATAAAGTTTGTTCGCATGCTATGAAGACATGGATACGCATTTAATCAAACTAATCTGGTCGATTCAAGCATACACAGTGAGTTAATTTAGCTGTGAACCCAATGTCTTGCGTCATATAAATTATTTCTATATTTACGCTAATACCCGAGCATGTATCTTGTGCAATCTTCAAATTTATGCAGGCAGAAATCTCCTTCTTCTGGAACGATCATCTTATAGTGTGTAGGAAAGTCGAACCTATCAACCAATCCAGTTCAAGGCAAGTAATTGAACCCGAACCCTCTATTTAATCTTATTCCGAAAGTTTTTTCTCACATTAATGTCTTTTTTTGACAAAGCTTACACGAAGAGAAGTGATCCAACTCAATGAAAAGCTCCCACGACCGTAAGTTAACTAAACCAGTGGACCAAATGAGAGAAAGTTTTCGGAAGCAAACAAAATAAAGTAAGTCTGTCTAACACAAACACCTCTTTACGAGCGAAATTTATTTATTCATCTTGATCCGATAGGGTATATCTATTCGCTACTTCTCTTCTTGCAGGACAAGTCCACGACTTTAAAACATTCAATGAAGCAGTATTTTTTACCGCGATCACATTGAACGAAGGATTGATTCCCTATAACATTAGAACATCTCGATATATTTATTCGATTCTCTTGCATTATTAAACTTTGCTAATGAATTCTAGGACATCCGTGGCGCACCCGTCGTCATCGACTGCAGTATCTGTCAAGCCAGCTTGCTTATTATCTCCACCCTGGTATTGACACCTTTCCTTTTTAACTTAATGTCGATGCCGAAATAATTGTTTGTTCTTCTCCATGTCTTTACCACTGGTGGACATGGAAAAGGACCACTTGATTCTGCAGAATCCATAGGATATATTTTGCTTTGTTAGACATATCGAGTGGCGGAAACAGCCTTCCAACTTGGGGGCTGAACAGTGAGACATTTATTGTTTGAGAGTTGTGTTTTCGCTGGAATGTGTAATAAAATAAATAAAAATTGGATTTTTGATTTGATATTTTTAGAAAAAAAATAAAATTATGGGTAAAATTTCACGGTTAGGCTAGTGTTTATTCCTATTGTGTTTTTTTGGATGATTTGTTTTTTATAATAGGTATAAGTATATATATTGATAGTGTAATTTAATAATTTATTTGTTCAAAATACAGTGTTTGATTTAATTTATTTAAAAGTATGTGTACTTTAAGCATGTGGATGAGTTTAATTTGATTTTAGATTGAATTTTGAATTTATTTTTTATTTTTTTAAAAAAAAACATATTAGGAAGGCTCTATTTTTAAGTTGTTTAGATATTTTGGAAGTTTGAAAATTGGAAGAATAATAAAATAAAAATAATTAAAAAATTAATAAAAAAATGATGTGACTGAAAATTTAATTTTGTATGTGATTTTTTTATATAAAATGAAATTTTTAATGAAAATAAAATATTTAGATGTTGTTTATTTTAAATATATATATCAGAAATAATTTGAAAACATGATTACTATTAGGAGGAGATTTTGGGAATTATCTTCAAATTTCCACGTTAGTCGTATTTATTATGGTTTATTCTATTTGGGAACTAACATTTAATGGAACGAATTTGGTCTTTTGATTTTGTTTTTTGTGTCGACTTGTTTGTCTTTCGATCTTTTTTCTTTATTATGCAAAGTAATTTATTTTATTTTCTGAAAACTTTCATAAGTTTGGAACTTTGGATGATAGTAAAATTTTGAAATAAAGATGTGCGAGATGTCAATATATATTTGATTGAATATTTCTTAATAAAATTATAATCTTTTGTATTATATTTTATTTATAAAAAATAAATACTTTATTAAAAGCATTTTTTTAAAAAAAGGAAAAATGATAATTTTTTTTGTTTCATATATAATATTTTCATTTTTTAATTTATATTAAATTAATTAATTATTTTAATTTAATTTATAATTATTTGTATTATATTATAGTCCTTCCGTCATGCAAATGTATGTTCATTTGACCGGACACGGATTTTAATAAAAATATAATAATTTTTATTTTTTTATAGTAAAAAAAAGTACAAAAGTCTAATTATTTTTAACTTAAAAATGAAATGAAAATATTTTTTTTTGACAATTCGAAAAGAAAAGTGATCATAAATTTGAATGATGGAGAGAGCAATTAATTGTACTAATATTTTAAATTATTTATTAATCATGTTACTCCTAAATTCTCGTATCAACATAATTATGAAATGATATTGGAAGATTCGTGGTTTATTTGTTTAGTGAAATTTTTTAAAAATATATAATTATTTTATGTGAAGTATATAAAATTATATAAATAATATAAAAATAATAAATATTTTTAATATATTAAATTTTTTTATTTTATTTTTTGAAAACATATTTTTTAAATTTGTGGAGAACACAGCCGGAGTATAATAACGTTTAAAACATTGAACACATTATCACGGAATAGTTTGTATAGATTTGACACAAAGTGCAAGTGGAGCAGAAACAATAATAATGTCTACGACGGCATATGAGAAGACGGGGAATCTTGCAAAAATTGTCTCACACATATACTCAATTATTATTTTTGTCTTATGTTTATCTCGTTGACAGAATATATTTTACATGTTTGCAAAAGTCGCTATTTCTATTATTTGGCCACGCGTGGCCGCGCGTAAGGGCGCGTGGTGTGAATTTCACGCGCGGGCAAATGACATAAACAGCGACTTTTGTAAACATGTGGGATATATTTTGCTAGAGAGATAAATACATGACAAAAGTGATAATAGGGTATAAGTGTGAAATATTTTTTGCAATATTCTCTGAGAATATGAGATGGTCGGTATTTTTATTATTACATCTCATCTAAATTTATCCCAAAATATCTTTTACGCTGCATCCTTCTAAGAAGACACGTCTCGTTGGGAGTTTGCACGAGAATTAAAAAATAATAATGTTTAACTAGAATACCTTTATTTTTATTTTTTTTGAATAATTTTAAAAAAGTATCTTAGAGTAATAATTATAGGAAATTTGAAAAATTTTGGATAATTTTATTATAAAATGGGGACCACGATTACTTTAAAAAAAAAGACAATTGTTTTGAACGGCAAGAAAAATAGAAAAAACAAGACAATTCTTTTGGGACGGAGAGAGTAATACTTTTCTAAAAATATTGATTGTGTTTTAATTTATAGAGTTTCTGTTTTTAGTTATTGAAATTTGTAAAAATTTAAATTATTAAAAATTTTGTTTTTGTTACTTTTAAAATATTTTTTAGATGAAATATAGTATCGTTTGTTTGATTTTGATTTGAAATGAAATATTTATTTATCACGCAGTATTTTTGGATAAAATAATTGTTGGTGTGTGGTATAGAAAATTGTGTCAAAAAAATGTTATGGGCTTTTTGTATATTAATTTTTATTATTATATCAATACATAATATAAATCAGAGAAAAATACAAAATACTTCTATGGGTTTCTCATCATACAAATATATTAAAAATTTTGGAGTAAACTATACAAATATAATGATATTTTAATATTAAAATAATGATGTAAAAGTCAAATTGTATTTTTTATATAAGTTGAATATTTGAATTTTTTTTTAATAAAATTTTTACTTTTTATAATTAACTTATTTTGACTTTTTAATTTTGTATAAAATGTTATGTTTTTTATTATTATTTATGAGGAATGGCAATTGAAAAAGAGTGATTGGAGAACATAACAAATATTTTCGAAATGTCATTTTGTAAAAAAAAAATAATAATAAGCATATTTTTATTAAAAATGACCAAATTATATTACTTTTTATTTGAAATAGAAATCAAACACACCAGTACATTTAAAGTGAGTCAATCAACAAGTTCCCCGAATCTTTAGGTTAATAATCAATTTATCTAAAAATTTAAATTAAAAAAATTATATTATTTATATATTTTTTATGAAGTCAACCATTATTGTCTATTGTATATGGATACCATTAAGTTTTATATAAAATATTATGGATGTGATTTATACAATTATTTAAATTTAAAATTTATACTATTTAAATTTCAAATTATAATTTCAAGCCCAAATCAACACATCCAACTAAAAAATGTATAATTTAATATGAAACTGAGAAAAATGGTAAAATATATATTGGCTGAAAAAAATAGAGTATATTTCATGCACATTATAATATATTAAATACTAACCGTATGTTAATATATATTAAAAAATAATTGACTTTGTTTGAATATATATATTTCTAAAACTATGATATTTTTTTATTTTTATTTTCAATGTATTATTTTTTATTTTAATATAATCATTTTTAATATATCTATTGTTTAATAATTGAACATCTTATATAAAAATATTCATATGGGTTCAAAAATAAAAATAAATTTTTTATTATATTATTAATTATAAAATATTAATATTCTAATATATGCTTTGTAGAGACAAATTGTTACATTCTAAGGTAAATAAGAAGAGTATTATTCCGTCCTTCTCATATCTATATATTCCGTCCTTCTCATATCTAAGGTAAATAAGAAGAGTATTACAAGGAGTTTAAAAATATTAATATTATATAAATGTAATGACATTTGTGTAATATATTGTAAATTAGAATGGTACTTGTAAGATTAGTAGATGATAAAATTAATAAAAAAAAATGAATATTGTTATGGGACAAATCAAAATAAAAAAAAAATGGATAAATTGTCAAGGATGAAAAAAAAAATATTTATTAATCATTATGCTTTGTTTTTCAAACTTTAAATTTTTACTATTTAGACTTGAATTTGATGAAAAAAATATATTTTCTTTTCTCTCAAAACACATCTATCTCATTGAATATTATTTAAACAAAAAATCCAAACAACAAATTTTCAAACGACATCAAATGAAACGTACCCTACTTCCTTATTTTTAAGAAAAAATATTCTACCAAATACTACAATATCACATAGTTCTGAATATCTATAAAAGTTGTATAAACTTCTATCATCAAGTCATCCAAAATTGGGCAGTCGCGATTCGTCCAAATCATTAATCAAGATTATAAAATAGATACGTAAACAAAATGGAATTGCCCAGAAAGGTGGACGACAAAGATAAGGATGAATAGTGACGGAAGCTTTATATTTCGAAAAGGGTGCCCCGTGTCCCTAGACTCGACTCGACTGCCTTGCTGCATTTGCATTTGCTGAGTCCATCTCCAATCCACTGTATTTTATGCAGTGGATTGTACCAAAAATAGGGGAGGGGCTTCAATCCATCCTCAAATTCCCTCCTCTTCCTTCCTCCAATTCTTGCAGGAATCCACAGTGTTTGTTACTCCATTCTATTTTTGAAGTGGAGTTTTGTGGTATTTTTTATATTTTTTGTATTTTTTCTGGTGTATTGTGTATTGTGTATTTTTTCTCTATTTTTTTTTGTATCTTTTCTGGTGTATTTTTTATATATAATTTTATATTTTAAAAAGTTGTATGTAATTTTATATTTTTTTGAAAAATAATGTATAATTTTATTTTTGAAAAATGATATAATTTTAGTTTTTGAAAAATAATATATAATTTTATTTTTTAAATATTAATTTTTATATATATAATTTTTAAATAATATATAAATTATATGTCTATGGATTTAATGTAAAAATAAATTAAAGTTGAGATGTAATTTATAAATATGAAAAGTTATATAAAATAATATAAAAGAGAAATATAAAATAATATATTTTTAAAGTAAAAATTGAAATTTATGATTAAATTAAAATTAATGTAAATTAACTGACAAAAATTGAATGGAGGGTTATGACCTGTCAAAGCACTGCATTTACGTTTTGGCTCTTGAAATCAAACCAACACAATGCATAAATGCGGTGGGGTTGGAGATGCTCTCATGCGACTCCGTCTCCGCCACTGAATCGTTATCGTCAATTGTTCTGTAATTAATTTCATGTTTCTGTGGATTAGATTCACGATTGAAATTTTAGCATGATTGTGCTGGCGCGCGTAGTAACTGTTATTCATTTTGTGTTTGCGGAATTGACGGTGAAGTCAGAGATAATATTCTGATATTGTGAAATTGCTTCTGCGTTTATTTGCGTAGAAGGAAATTAAAGGCGGCGGTCGAGGTATGGAACGCAGTGAAACTGAGGAAAGGCTTTTGGCGAGAGTAGAAAATGGCGACGAAGACGGCGAGGAGGCGAGAAGTCTCGCGAGTAAGGTGTGGTCGGAGTCGAAGAAGATGTGGATCGTCGCTGGACCTGCAATTCTCACCCGAGTTTCAACTTTTGGAATAAATGTGATCAGCCAAGCTTTCGTCGGCCATGTTGGTGCTACCGAGCTCGCAGCCTATTCTCTCGTCGTGACTCTCATCACCAGATTCGCTAATGGACTAACGGTACGGTGTTTTTTAGTTTCCAATTTGAGCTCTCGCGCGTTTTCCGAATTTGCTTGTTCTAAATTCAACTGTTTCCCCTGAAATCAACAACCAGATTGAGCATAAATTACACGTATGTGTTTGAAACGATTCAGATTAGGAAATGAACAGTGGAATACGACGAACATCTTCGCGACTTACTTACCGAAATTGCTTGTAGTTGTAGTTGTAGCTGTTCCGAATCCAACTGTTTCCCGTAAAATCAACAAACAAAATCGAGCATAATTATATCTCTGCGTTTTAACTTTGAAACGATTCAGATTAGGTAATGAACAATGGAAATACGACGAACATCTTTGCGACTTACTTACCAAAATTGCTTATAGTTGTTCTGAATCCAACTGTTTGCCGTAAAATCAACAAACAAAATTGAGCATAATCATACCTCTGTGTTTGAACTTTGAAACGATTCAGATTTTTACTTTCCGAATTTGATTTTGCAGCTTGGAGCTGCGAGTGGACTCGAAACCCTATGCGGACAGGCGTACGGCGCGAAGCAATACCACATGCTGGGGATATATCTGCAACGATCGTGGATCGTTTTGATCATCGCTACAACTCTAATAGTGCCAATTTACGTTTTCACAACTCCTCTATTGAAAGCATTAGGTCAGGATGAGGTTATCAGTGAGGTTGCTGGAAAGATTTCTCTCTGGTTCATTCCCGTTGTGTACGCCTTCATCGTGTCGTTTAGCTGCCAAATGTTCCTGCAAGCGCAGAGCAAGAACAGGATCATCTCATACTTAGCGGTTGCTTCATTAGCAATCCACCTTTTCCTCTCATGGCTTTTAACTTTCAAGCTCGGGTATGAACTAACAGGTGCTCTAATTTCGACTATTTTGGCGTACTGGATTCCGAACTTGGGGCAGATGATGTTCGTTACCTTGGGAGGATGTCCAGAAACATGGAGAGGCTTTTCGATGTTAGCGTTCAAGGATCTTTGGCCGGTTGTCAAGCTGTCTGTGTCGTCTGGTGCAATGCTCTGGTAATAAAGGCAGGCTTGCTTGTTACTTGAAGGATCGATGAAGCTGATTAAATGATTGATTCTAATGGTTTTTTGCTATGTTGGTGCAGTCTTGAATTATGGTACAATGCTATATTGATTCTTCTCACGGGAAACTTGGAAAATGCAGAGGTCGAACTCGATGCCCTTTCGATCTGGTAAAACCATTTCCCTTTCTTGTTAGTTAGTTATGTTATTATTTGGTTTTTAAAATGGCAATGGAATCATAATTGTCAATAGCACTAGTGGAATAACGAAAATAAAAAGAATTACTCCCTTTGTCTCAAATCAAATGAGCTTTTTTGGGGTTTTATAGTATATTAAAAAATAATATTCCTTATGTCCCATAACAAACTATCATTTTTTTATTTTACTCCGTCTCATAACAAACTATTATTTTTGCATTTTACTCCGTCTCATTTAAATTGGGATTTGAATAGTAAAACTTATGAATTTGAATAGTTTGAATATAAAATTGATTTTTAATATAATATAAAAAATAAAAAATATGTGTTTGATTTAATATTTTTTTGGTGAAAAAAATGGAATGAACAGTGAGATTAAAATCCAATCCCCCAAACAAACACACCCATATTTTTATTGTAAATTTGAATATATAATCATTTTCATATTCATATTCTTAAATATTTAAATAGCCGCCGTTCTGCTATTCCGCTATGAATGAAATTTAAGACCTTACCTTCATTTCAGCCTTAATATCAATGGCTGGGAGATGATGATATCACTTGGATTCTTGTCTGCGGCGAGGTATTCCATCCTTGTTGTGATTGCTTGTTCTTGTAGCCAAGAATCTTGTATAACTTCATCGATTGCGATCCATATGTTTTTGCAGTGTCCGTGTCGCGAATGAACTTGGCATGGGAAATTCGAAGGCTGCGAAGTTCTCTGTTGTCAATATTGTGCTTACTTCATTTGTAATTGGTTTGGTGCTGTTTGTGGTCTTCCTCTTCCTCCGCGAAGGCTTAGCTTATATATTCACCGAAGACAAAGCTGTAGCAGCAGAAGTTGCTCATTTATCGCCTCTTCTTGCATTTTCGATACTCCTCAACAGCATTCAGCCGGTTCTCTCAGGTAAAATCGACACCCCTTCTGTAATATCCACATCGTTATGATCCATTCTTGTTGGCTTTCATTGTGGCAATTTAACATAGTATTAGAGTCATTCATGTGTTTGAGTCTCACCATTCTCCTTGATAAAAAATTATTTACGTACAAAATTCATGTGTGGCATAATGCACGTGAAAGAAAACGTGTTGGTTGTCTATATAATATTCTCTCTGTCCATAAAATATATGCTCATTTGAGCACAAATTTTAATAATATAGTACTTCCTCCACCCTAGATAGAGTGTCCATTTTCTCTATTCTCGTCAGTTCAGATAATTTGTCATTTTTTATTTTTGAAATATAATTATATTTTTTAAAATTTATAGTTTATAATTTTCTTAATTTTAATTAAACTATTTACTTATCTTAATTTTAGTTTATAATTATATTTATTATACAAAAATTATTTATACTAATACACTTTTTAATTCTTTACTAATTATATTTTACTTAAATTTTCGTATTTATAGTAACATGGACACTTTTAGTGGGACGAAGAAAGTATTATATATGTTGATTGTGATATAAAATAAGATATTTTGAGGACTATATGAGTGAGTTAAGAGAGATTAGAGAAAAAGTTTGATAAATTGAGTGTATTAAGTAATTTAGCATATGCACAACCCATAGGAGCCTAACGCACTGGATACGATTAGAACTCCAAAGGTAAGCATAACTAGAGTCAAGTCTTTGTTTTTATAAATGGAAAATGCATATCTTTTTGTGGAAAATCAAAAATAAGTTTAAACATTTAGGTGAGATGTTCATTTAACATATTGAAATCGTCAAACATGATGCAGGTGTAGCTATTGGAGCCGGTTGGCAGTCGACTGTTGTTTATGTAAACCTCGCATCGTATTATTTGCTAGGAATACCTCTCGGCTTCCTGCTTGGTTATGTCCTTGGATTGCAAGTCGAGGTTTGTCCATTTATCAATTTGGATTCGATGATTCTTTCTTCGCTTTCTTTCATCGAATAGGATTTACTACTCATATTTGTTACTGGAAGGGCGCAATCTCTCTGTCCATCTTATGCATTGCGTGTGCTTGATCACCGGAGCTCGATTTTTTGCAGGGAGTTTGGATTGGAATGCTTGTAGGAACGTTGGTTCAAACTATCGGCTTGCTCATCCTAACCCGGAGAACCGATTGGGATAAACAGGTGCGCGCATCGCATCCTCTTCGACCAAATCGTCGTAATTTCGGGATAGAAATGTGGTCACTTTCTGAATCCTGAATTGTGTCTTTTAGGTAACCATTGCTAAAAAAAGAGTTACCCAGTGGTATGTGGAAGATGACTCCGCAGAAAGAGCAGAAAACACAGGAATGTGACAAAGAGGTAAGAATTCAGCTTTGATTAAATTATGTACTTTTGATTTTAGACATGAATTATTGATGATATGAATAGGGTAATAGCTTCCTTTTTGGTGAATTGGTAAATTTGGGTAAAGTAATAAAGGAACAAAAAAGTTATGCTTGCTATTTATTCAAAATTGTTCATTCAGTTGTGTTATAAAAGTAATTTTGTAGTGGAGTGTTTTTGACAATAGTATAAATTTAAAAGGAAAACATGAGTTTGAGTTTTATATTTTAAATTTAAATTAAGGTCATATTTAAATAAAAGTTTTAGAAGCTTGAAATTTTCGTAACAGTAAAAATTCAATAGATAATAAAATAGATATTTAACTGATATGTTTTTTCAAAAAATAAATTAATTAGAATCAAGAAAATTTGGTTTCTCTTGTTACAAACATATAATTTTGGAAGTTAGTTTTTAATTAGAATCCAAGTTTTAATGTAATTTAAATAAAAAATTATGTATTCAATATACTCCCCTCCATCCGAATAAAAAAAATAAAATAAAATAAAAAAAAATAAAAAAAGAGTAGATTGGAAAATAATAGAATTTTATTGATCAGTAAAAAACATATAACTTTTTTTTTTTTTTTTTTTTTATAACAATTTTGCTCTTTGATTGTTATGTATAAAATAATTATATATATAATGACATAATTGTAATTTAAATGAAAATTAAAAAATATTTTGGTCAAAACCAAACTAGGAAGACCCAAAGCAGGAGGATAGATAAAGTGGAGAGCCCAGCCCAATAAAATACACAATTCAAATTAATAAATAACAAAGAAACATGTATCATCAGTGGACTAAAATTATAATTATAAAAGGCACGACATAATATAAAAGGCAGAGCTATGTATATATTCATTTCAAAAAAAAATATAACATTCACACAAATGTAATAGTTTCATATAAACCCCCACATAAAATGAACACCATTCAACAATCTTAGTTGATTATTGAGCTCGACCTGAACATGTTAATCTTTTACAAAAGACTACAATAAAAACGATTTTACCACAGCGATTAAGATGTCATTACCTGGTGTAAGCTTCAAACTCTACTTCAAAAAAATAGTCGAATAATCGGCTATCGTCGCCTCTTCTTCTGCAAAGGCTCTGAAGGCGATCCGGCCTGATAGAGAAGCACATGAAATATATATTGTTTCGAATTTTCGATACTACAATGAAACATTGAACATGAAACTGAAGGAGAATGTGTACTTACGTATTTTGATAATTGTTCGTTGATGTAGGACATGGATCTCAACACAGCGTCTAGTGTATCTTTGGCCAGCTGAAACTTCACTTCCGTCTCGTTGGAGGGAGATTTCAAATAATCTTGCAACTACGAAGAAGTAAGAATAAATGCAATTTTTAAAATGTCGGTGCTAGAGCAAATGGTTTAATCTTACAAAACTACTTCGCGCAGTTTCTTATGTTATTTGTTTCCATGATCATATAAGTCACTCCATTTTATTACCTTAAGTGTAATGATAGCCACTCGATTACCCGGGGTGGTAGTCCTATTCTCCACAGTCCATGTCATAGATTTCACTTGAGGAAGAACTCCCTGCATCGTATCGTATGGCATCAAAAGCCACAAAACGTTAATTAGTATTCAAAACTAGATTTCATCTCGGGTTCATGATAGAGTGCACACATATAATTCGGAAAAAAAGATAGCGTGGCTTATCTACTTAATCTTAAGTCATTAGATAGATTGCAGAACCACTAGCAATTCTCACAAATAGAAAATTAGCACAAAACATGAAAATATCGATTAAAATTAAAAGGCAAAATTGCTTATAACCCACATATCGATTGGAAACTCTATTGTCCCATTTAGAAGTTGCACGAGACACCTTCGTGATTTCAAAAACATTGCACAAAATTTTCTAGAGTCTCGCCTCATAATGTATTCTAAAATACGATTATTAAGAAGTCCGGTGCAAACTTTCCAAATTTGATGCACGAGGACATTTATCTCTAAGAGAAAATAATATGAATTTTAAAGCTACTTGATTCAGAGTAATACCGTAAACTCGGGAGGGATGGTGTCATTTTGATGAGATAACTGAGGCAAACTCAACCCATTTCTCTCTGACATTGCACATCTATGATTACGGCTGTAGAGTTGATAAACCGGATTGACTTGTCGGGACATCAGTGACCCAGAAACCTCCGAAGTAGGAAAAGATAATGGAGGTGGCACTGAGCAAGAGAACCCGTCATTTGGACATGACGTTCCAGTTGAACCGGATACGTGCTGCAACTAGAGTACAGAAAAATACCCCAAGTTAATCAGTTATTAAGATTTCTTGTGTATATCCATATGATAAAATAAAATAAACGAAAATTGTGAAAAGAGTTTATGCGATCCTTTTCTTCATTGCAAAAGTTAAACATAGAGAATCCCCTGCTCACTATCCCAAACAACAAAACTAGTAAATCTATGTATGTACAATAGCAAAACTATTCGCGAATTCAAGTTTCAGATAAACACCTACCAAGAAAATACACAAAACTTTTTGAAAAATCCTACTATGCAATGAAATATGACAAGAATGGCAATGAGATCCATCAATGATCAGTTTTCAATTATCAAATCACATACGTGCCACTTCAATTGTTCGTTGTTTCGCCATCATCTAATTACGCTTCTGATAGTTCGAAGAAACTTCTTCACAATTACTACTACACTCTCATTGATTCAACTATGAAATCTGTGTGGCATCTTATCATCTTTCTAGCAAGACTGATTGTTTACCTGTTCTTGGGATAACTCTTCCTTCCACAGATTCCCAAGCTTCTGCAATAATGTAAGAAGCATGCGCTGCAGTTCAAGAGGAAGATCAGATGGAAGCAGCTTCGAAATATCATCCCCTTCAAGGCAACTGCGTGCACAATTTCGAATAAGAGATCGAAGGGATGGCAATACCTACAATACAGTTTAATGTCAGAACATCGCCAGCAGAGAATTGAAAACCCTAGCACAGTAATTTTCAATATCATTCGACAATAAACTCATCTACGAGGTAATATTGAACGTAGATTTCTCACACAAATATTTAGAAATCGCGAATAGCTTGCTAGAATAAATATGTATTCGCTAGCTAGAATAATTTTCAACCTAGGATTTCAGAACTAGGCAATATTCATCAATTCAGCCATTTTTTTGGACTGACAACTTCCAGCACAGAGATAAACAACTCACAGGATTAAGATCGCCAGGCGAAGGAAGCTTAAGAAGAGACTGAAGCGAAGACTTCTCTGAAGAGGATAAGCCAGTTTTACGAGTCTGCCATAGCAATTGAAGCAAGCTTTCAAGCTCTTGCTCTGAATTTACGACCAGTTTGTGCAGATGCTCCGACAACGATGTCTCCCCAGCCATTAATCCTCCCAATTCGTCTACCTCAACTCGAATTCATCAACATTGAAATGGATTGCCGCCGTAACCATGGCCGATCCGAGTCGCCTAGACAACAATGGGACCGTGCAAAGATTGAAGCCTTCAGTAGGTCCACCTTCATGTTATGAACTGCAACTGGCTCAGAGCGTCTTCAGCTAATCAAATAAAAGCCTATTAAACATTGGGCCGTTGAAAAGCAATAAGGCCCGTTAGGCCCAAATACTGTTATTGGGCCTGCTTGGAAACCCTAAAAGCCCATTTATTGACTATAAAAGCGCATCCGCTGCAGAATTAGGGTTTCTGTTCAGTTGGAGCTTTGAAACTCTGAGGCAGTAGCCGTCTAATTTCTCGAACGTCGTCGGGGAGATTTCGATCATGGCGGACAGAGGTGGATTCGGACGTGGTTTCGGTGGCCGGGGAGGACGTGGAGACAGAGGAGGTCGGGGACGCGGCCGGCGTCCACGCCGCGAGACTGAGGAGGAGAAGTGGGTGCCGGTGACGAAGCTCGGCAGGCTAGTGAGGGACAGTAAAATTAGATCCGTCGAGCAAATCTATCTACACTCCCTTCCAATCAAGGAATATCAGATCATTGATGCTCTGATTGGACCTTCTCTGAAGGACGAGGTGATGAAGATCATGCCCGTGCAGAAGCAGACTAGGGCTGGTCAGAGGACCAGATTCAAGGCGTTTGTGGTGGTCGGAGATGGAAACGGCCACGTCGGACTTGGTGTAAAGTGCTCCAAAGAAGTGGCGACCGCCATTCGCGGCGCTATAATATTGGCCAAGCTGTCGGTGATTCCGGTGAGGAGAGGTTATTGGGGAAACAAAATTGGGAAGCCGCATACAGTGCCGTGTAAGGTCACCGGTAAATGTGGTTCCGTCACTGTGCGGATGGTTCCTGCTCCCCGTGGTGCTGGTATCGTGGCGGCGCGCGTGCCGAAGAAGGTGCTCCAGTTCGCCGGAATTGAGGATGTCTTCACATCCTCCCGTGGATCCACCAAAACTCTTGGAAACTTCGTGAAGGTCTAATGTTTTACATTTCGAATTCCCTAAATATTCTGATTATCGAATAATATGGCTTATTTTTATTGCATAATTCTATCTTTAAGTTGCATTGTGAAATATTGAGGATCCTTGCATGATGTTATCATGATTTATTCTCTAGGGTTTTAAGAAAATTTGATTTGCTACCATAACCATAATCTTGCTGTAGGTTATGATGATTGATTCAACCTGGATGAAAAGTTTTGAATTCTAATTTACAAGCCATTATCTTTGTGGAATTTTGTTCTGATTTTAGCTTTATGATCTTTTACAATGCATAGCTATTATCATTGTTCATGTAAATTGCTGTTAGTTCTTTTGGTGGATATTTCTCTCTAGGAATACTCTGAGTCTTGCGCCTTCCTTGTCGATTTTGCTGAGGTTTTTCAAGGGATGGGATCAAGACACAACTAAATTTATCATGATTGAATAGTGTATTACATATATTCGAAACTATTCTAACATCATAGTGTAATAACAGCCTCCCCATTTTGTTAGAAGAGAAATCCCAATTGTTAAAGTGATTAGACCCGAATTAATATGAACTACTTTGTGATGTTTTCTACAATTCAATACCTTCTTGTAAACCATATTTACTACCAAATTTGCTCGTTCCTTTGCTGTTTCTTATGCATCTTTATCCATTTCTTTCCTCTGTGCATCATGATCTTATAAATTGAAGCAGGCAACTTTCGACTGCCTAATGAAGACTTACGGGTTCCTGACTCCGGACTTCTGGAAGGAGACTAGATTCGTGAAATCTCCATTCCAAGAGTACACTGATCTGCTGGCTAAGCCGACTTCCAAGGTCATCCACGTCGTGGATGAACCAGAGGCCTAAGTTTCTTTGGATTTTCTAGTACAAATTTTGAGGTTGGTTAGATTGCAAGGAGACTGTCGAATGCATTTTCATACCAAGCTGTTACCTTTTGGTTTGCACTCTGCTACTGCTGCTTCTAAATGCTTATTTCTATTCTGTCTTTGATGCTATGAATTTTGAATGCCTTTGATCCTCTGTCTTTACCTTTTCTAATACAATTTTCACTATTTTTATGAATCATTATTGTTTACTTAACATATTATATTGACAATGTGTCTGTTTAGAGTAATTGACAGAGAACATATGTTAGTCGGTTTTCGCGATAATCTCAAATCAATTTAATTTATGATAGTATTATTTATTATATATACAAAAAACACACATTAGTATTATATAATACACATGTTTATAATATATGTGTTATAGTTGTATACAACTATGTCATGTGTTTTTGGTTAACGTATATAATGTGAGGTGTTAATTATGGCCGAGGTGTTAATTATGGCCGCATTATGTATTATCTATTAGCTGTTCAGGTGTTAACTTTAAATTCATCACTCCGCCTATTTATTCAAACATTCACATTTTATTAATCATTTTTTACTCGAAAATGTATTTAAAATAGAATAAAGTAAATAAAAATTGTATTGGTCACTGCTCATCGTAGATTATTTGGAAGCGTAAGGTCCAGGCCCTCCGACGCCCGCAGATGCATCCAAACTGGTACTAGTTTGGAAACTTCACGGGATCCATCACCATGAGCATGGGGGTCCCGGGAGCTCCATCAATGTATGTTCTCTTTCCATTTGGCCAAATTTGAAAGCAAATGCAAACCCAGTCCTGCTAAACTGATATTCATCCATTGCCATTTTGCATGCACACAATGCAACTTCAAATTTTAAATTATACAGTAGGTATAATGGTTTGGTGGTTGGGCCACTCTCACTCTCTAATAAATAAATGGTATGTATTTCATTAAAATTAAATTTTTAAATAAACTAGTTATGAGTTTTGATTTAAATTTGAAGTTTAATAATAATTCATTTTATATGCTCTTAAAATATTGTTTTTAAAATTATTATTCAAATTAAAATAAAAATAAAAAAATCATATTTGTAAATAAATATAAATATTTAATTTATTATTTTTTTTTAAAAAAATCAAGAATAAATCCTCAAAATATTTCTACATTATACTTATATAAAAAGCTGTTTTCAATTGGGTACGTTTTTTTTTTTCTTTTATGTTAAAATAATGTATAATAAAATATTTTATAAAAAAAAAATAATGCAATTTGTGTAGCTTTACAGTAATTTTTTTAAATATATATATATATATTTATACCAATTTTAAATTTAAATTACTATTCAAATTTTAAATTAAAATAAAAAAATCATATTGTTAAAATTAGTACCAATAATTGAAAAGAAATTGGCAGACAGGCACAAGTACCTAAACTAAAGAAGTTAGAAATACCACACCACTCACTGTATATATTTCTTCAAAACCATCCTTCATTATTATTATGGTTATTGTTTTTGCTGCAGAAGCGAAGAAGACGAAGTAGAAGAAGGATGAGCAGCTGCACCAGCGGTAAGATCTATATATATATATATACACACATATGTATGTATTGGAGAGAGAGAGAGGAGGAGAAAGAGGCGAATAGAATGTGTGTCAGATTTCTCTCTTGATCTGCCTCTCTCTGCATTGCATTTATTGTTTCTCTCTGTCCGCACCCCAATTTAATTGTGGATCTTACGCTCAGGTTGTTAGCTCTCCTTGTTCTTGTTCGATTCCCCTTCTCGCGTCCGGGGAGTCGCCACGCTGCATGGAAGCTTCAATTGCAGTTTGGACGCGCTTTTAATTTGTTCCTAGGGTTCTTCAATTTCCGCTGGTTAGTTAATTTCATCTGCTCACTCACTTTGATTTTATATATATGACTTATTTCCGTTCGATTTGATCTCGCGATTGCGTTCAATTCCTCGATTTCGTCGCCCCTGCTTTTGTTTCCTTTTTTGCTTTTTGCGATGGACGGATTGGTGAGTGATTGGGTTGGGTTCGGAGATTGTTAATTCGGTGTGTTGATTGGGGATTTTATTGATTGAATTTAGGTTACAATTCGCGAATTAGGAATTTGGGGAAGAAAGGGGATATACAACATCTATACGTAATGGTAGCTCAAAGGATGGGATCTCAGAGCTGCAACAATGGCGATTTCGTTACGGAAACCCTAATTGGAACACAGGACGCCAAATCGAACCCGTTAGGATCATCGTCGTTCTACAATCTGACACTCGATGAGGTGCAGAATCAGTTAGGCGACGTCGGGAAGCCTCTAGGCAGCATGAATCTCGACGAGCTTTTGAAGAGTGTTTTCACCGCCGGCGACGATTCCGGTCCGGCGCCGACTCAATCCGCCGTACCGGAGGATCTGAGCAAGAAGACTGTAGACCAATTGTGGCAGGACATCGAAAGAAGGAGTGGAAATCTCGAGAGGAGGACGACGCTGGGGGAGATGACATTGGAGGATTTTCTGGTTAAGGCCGGCGTTGTGGCGGAGTCGAAATCAAATTCCGGCGACACCAATCCGGCGGGACTGCCGCCGCCGCAGTCGCGGTGGATGAGTTATCCGATCCAGTTGACGAACCCTCAGCCCGTTTTCGTCCCCGGACATCCGGTGCTTCAGCCGCAGCCGATTAGCCCTCCTTCGATCGACAGCGCTTTCGCCGAAGCTCAAATGGCAATGTCGTCTTCCCCGATGATGGGGAGTTTATTCGACTCACAAACGTCGAGACGTAAAAGGCTTAATCCGGAGGATGTAGCTGAAAAAAGTGTCGAAAGGAGGCAGAAGAGGATGATCAAGAACAGAGAATCTGCAGCGAGATCGCGGGCTAGGAAGCAGGTCCATTTTTAGTCGATCCCGGCATTTTTGCATCGTAATTTATTCCATTTCGTGTTTTTGTCTTCAGGCTTACACTCAAGAATTGGAGAACAAGGTTTCCCGGCTGGAGGAGGAAAACGAGCGACTCAAGAGACAAAAGGTTGCTTTATTTGAAGTAGTTATTTTGCTTGGCATTTGGTTTCATTCGTTTAGCTCGATAAATGATGATCGTTCCCGTTTATTGAGTTTTCGATGATACATTTTGCTTGACATATGGCGTCGTTCGTTTAGCCCGATATATGATGATTTTATCGAGTTTTCTATGGTACATTTTGCTTGACTTTGGTTCGATTCATTTAGCTCAATAAAAATTTATTTGATCTCTGTATATAGAGTTTTCGATACATAACTCGGTTTGGTCGAATAGATGAACATATAGTAAACGACGAACACCAAATACGTTCGATAGCTTTGCATACGCAATATTGTGCTAATTTCATCGAATGTATTGATTGATGCAAATGTGATTTGAAAATAACTTGACATAACCTTTCGGGCTTTCGAAAGGTTATTCGACACTCTTTTTCGTTTATGTGTAAGTATGGCTTTCGATCTCTTGCTAAATTATCTAGTTTTGCAGGAATGGGAGACGACGATGTCGGCTACGACACCACAGCCGGAGCCAAAGTCTCAACTGCGTCGAACAAGCTCTGCCCCTACATAATGACGACGTCAGCAGCGTTCTACATCGACTCTTCTTCGACCATCTGTAGCAAACTATACTTAGTTTCTTTCGAAAAAAATTAACGGCTCGACTAGACTCGTTTCGACAACAGCCTCAGGTATAAGGGCATATCCTCAAGTAAGCTTCATGTATGTGCAAATTTATAATGTTGGCTTGCTGGGGAGTTTCTGAATGATTTCAGGCCTTTATTTTGATACCAAATTGGGCCTGGGTCAATAGGAGGCCCAATAGGCCCATTGGGCTTTGACACTATTTAACATAGAATATATATATCAAATTATAAATATTTAAATAATTTCGATCTCACAAGTTTGATGTCTAAAAAAAAGTATCACTCCAAAATACTCTTCTAATTAAATTGTAATATGATCTAAACATAAAACGTTCATATGTTTACTCAGCATTTTTATATAAAATGATTATTCGTGGATGGTACGAAAAACTATATTGATAATATAAAAAATAATATTTTTTTTATGAGTATAATGTATATATTATATTGATGTGTATCTATATTTGTATTTTTCTAATAATATTTACGATAAATTGTTTCATAAATGCTGGGTGAATATACCGGTTATATAGTTAAATAATTTATTTATTTTATATTATATTTAAAATATTATATCAATATGTATATTTACATTAAATCGAATATTTAGTAAAATTTAATATTTTACCATTCAAAATTCAAAATTCAAACTTAAAATCTATATATATATGTCATGTATTTTGCCTAATAAATATAATTTCATGTAAAAATTTTTATGCATGGACAAATCATTTTTTTATGTGTGTACAATTTTGATGCAATTATACATTTAGCTTCAACATGTGATGTAATTTTAATTGATAGCCGACAAATAACAAAGGTTGTAAAGCTAACTAAACGCATCCCTCTTTTGTTGCGTGCACGTCTTTTTGTCGTTTAATTATTTATTTGAATCTCACTTGCTCCATTTAGTAATTAAATATTATTTTAACCCCCTCCAATTAGTAATGACATCGTATACCAATATTTTTTATTTAAATTTTAAATACTTTAAAATTACTTTTTTACTTTAAAATAATTTTTAAATATATCGAAATACAATCATTAATATTTAAAAAGTACGCTTTATATTTCGACTGTAAATTTTCACAATCATATATTAAAAAATAAAAAAAACTGTACAAAATGACATAATTCATTTACGGCCGCCGGCGGCCTATATATGTACATATATAATATTAAATATATTTAATCAATATAAATTAATTAAATTAATTTTTATATTTTACGCATAGATTCTCACTTAAAACCTTCTCTATTTTTGAATAAACAAAAAATTTTATTAATATTTAAGACTTTTTTTTATATAAACTTAATTTATATTAATAATAAATAAATACAAATATTTTTTTATTAAATTATATCATGTACTTTTTTCGTACGTTTCTAAAAGTTATATTTACTTTTTGTATATTTTATTTAATATTCAAAATATTCTTATATTTATATAATTTTTTTTTCTATAAATATCCTTCTATTAGTATTATAAAATACTAATAAAAATATTTTTACAATTTTTTAAATTTGTAAGACATTTTAATATAATAACTAATATTCAAATTTTTTAAAATGATATATTATTAAAAAAACAATATTTAAAATATTTAAATATATATTCTAACTATTTTTAATTATACATAGTAATTTTTATTTTAAAATACTATATAGAAAATAATATTATAATTTATTATAATTAATTTATTAAATTGTATTTTCTAAAAATAAATGCGATTAGATATATACTTTATATAAAAATAATAAAATAATATTATAATTTATTAAAATTCTATTTTTTAAATAACGTGTCTGTAATTAAATGCGATTTTCATGTGGCAGACATATAGGATGTGTTTATACATAAACTTAGGTTTCTACAATTATTTAAATTGTTTTCAAAACAAATACTTTATTATATATTCCCTCTGTCCCAAATACTCATACGGTAATTTTTTTTTTTTTATGTTTTAAATATACTGCAATATTTTTAAAATAGAAAATAATTAATTATATTTAATCTCTATCTCACCTTTTATTTCCTCACATCATCAAATAAAAAATAAAATATATATATTTTTTTCATCACATCATTTAATTTCTAAATTATTTTATTTAATACTATTCATCTAAAAACTCGTATCAAAAGAAATAAATATTGCACTTTATTTGAAATGGATAGAGTATTATTTTAATAATAAATTCAAACAATTTTTTTTTTTTTCAAATCTATCAAAATTAAGAAAGAAACCCTATACTATAACGTGTATATATATGCGTATAATATACTCCATATATGGAAAACTCAGCTCAACTCACTGTCTGTTGCAGTATAACCAACCAGTACTGAGCCAACACTCCAACTCGGATCTGAGTTACCGAGTTGACTCAGCGTAACCGCCATGGATCCCAATGTCGAAGACCGCACGCCTCACTGCCTACTTCTGCCCTACCCAAACCAAGGTCACATCAATCCTATCCTCCAATTCGCCAAGCGATTGTCCCACACGCGCCGCCGCATCCAAATCACCTTCATCCTCACAAAATTCCTCCTCAAATCCACCACCGCCGCCGCCGCCGCCGCCGAAGCCGACATCTCTTTCAGGTCGATTTCCGACGGCTTCGACGACGGCGGTAGAGCACACGCCAAGAGCTTCGAGGAGTACACCGACCGATTCGAGCTTGTCGGCCGGGAAACCCTAACGGAGCTGCTCCGCGAGCTTTCGGATTCGGGTCGACCCGTGGACTGTGTGGTGTACGACCCGTTTATCCCGTGGGTCCTCGACGTTGCCAAGGGCTTCGGCCTCCCGGCGGCGGCGTTCTTCACGCAGTCGTGCGCCGTGAACAGCGTCTACCACCAGGTCTACTGCGGGCGGCTGCGGCCGCCGCTGCGGGAGAATGAGGTGGCGGTGGTGGCGGCGGAGCTGCCGCCGCTGAAGGCGGAGGAGCTGCCGTCGTTTATTGAGGTGCACGGGTCGTACCCGGTGGTGTTCGAAATGATAAAGAGTCAGTTCCGCAACGTGGAGAAAGCTGATTGGATATTCGTCAACACTTTCTACAAACTGGAGGAGAAGGTACTAATTCAAAATACTATCTCGGTAGGCTCTAACGTCCATTTATTTATTTATTTTGGATGAATTATTATATCAAAATATATTATAAATTAAAAAAAATATAAAAATATTTTCATTATTATTTTATATAAAACTAATAAAATAATATTTGTACAAAAAATTATACAAATATAATAATATTTTTAATGTTAAGTACAGTAAGGTAAACGTGACCCTAGAGATAGAAGGAGGGAATATCTTTTGTAGTACTTTCGTGTGAGACAATATTATGTATTTTTTCACAAAGGGTGTGTTTGTTTGGGGGTTTGAATTTTAAATTGGGATTTGAATAGTAAAAATTTTGAATTTGAATAGTTGTATAACCTGATATAAATAGGTGTTGATGTGATGTTTTGAATGTAAAATTAATTTTTAGTATAATATAAAAAATAAAAAATAGGTGTTTGATTTGACATTTTTTTTTTGAAAAAAATGAGATGAATAGTATATTTGGGGGAGAATCCCCAAACAAACACACCCTAAAGGTAATTATATATTAATATGAATATATTTTTTAATTTTTATCTAAATACAAATATATCGTTTCATATACAATTATTTTATACAAAAAATTAAATAACAAAAAAATATTCAAATCTCTTACTTACTTTTACTAATTAATAAAATATTATTACTTATTAATCATACACTTATTCTACAAATTATTAATTTCTTTTCTAATATGTACGATGACATCGCTTCACATTACAAATATTGTCATATTTATACTTATTTACATTAATATATTCACGTTAATTTTACATATCACAAGAATAAAATAGTTTTTTACATATTAAAATTATTACCAATTATTATTAAAATAATATTTATTAATTTCATGCATTTATTGTTTTAGTAGACAAAAAAATATTAAACATTTAAGTATTTATTAATATTATTATTAACAAAATCTTCTAGGAATATAACTTTTTTAATTTTCTATTTCAACAAGTCCTCTAAAATATATGAAGATTGTTTTAGGGTGTGTTTGTTTGGGGGATTGGATTTTAAATTTATTGTTCATCTCATTTTTTTTCTCCCGAAAACATCAAATCAAAATAACAATTTTTTATTTTTTATATTATACTAAAAATCAATTTTCCATTCAAAACATCACATCAACACCTATTTATATCACATTATACAACTATTAAATTCAAAATTTTTTCTATTCAAATCTCAATTCAAAATCCAAATCCCCAAACAAACACAATATAAAGCTAACAACATGGCCATATTTTTCAAATGAAAACCTATAAAATAAGTATGTTATATTTAAATATACAATACGATGTAGACTGGAACATGCACGTAACAAAGTTGTCTTCTAAATATGCCAACATGTTCTTCTCGTCACATAGCTAACCTTGTGTATATGTCAATTGTGGTTATCTAAAAATTCTTCCAACCACTCAGAGAAATATATATATTTCTTGCAGAGTTTTAAAATTTTGCATTTAAATGATTATTAGTGGGTATTTTTTTTGTCTTTATATTTTAATTTGAGTTAATAATATAAATATAAATATCATTTAAATGTATTTACAATATATAATGTGGTTAAATTTATTATATATATATATATTGTATTTTAAAATAACAATATATATATTTTTCGAGTGGCCGAAAAACGTATAAATTTAAAAATATTAAAAGGAGAAGAAATTAATTCTTTATTACGATTTTTTTTTTTTTTGTAGATAATTAATTCTTTATCTGAATTTTGGCCAATAAAAGCAATTGGACCATCGATACCATCGATGTGCTTAGACAAAAGGTTGCAAGATGATGAAGATTATGGTCTAAGCCTCTTTGAACCCTCATTAAGTGTTTGCCTAAATTGGCTCGATAAACATGAATCTAAATCGGTCATCTACATTTCTTTCGGAAGTTTAGTTCAATTAACGATTGAACAAACTCAAGAACTCTCGCAAGCATTGATGATATTAGACAAACCCTTTATATGGATTGTTCGAAAATCAGAAGAATCTAAACTTCCAAATAACTTTCCACCGGAAAATGGATTGATCGTGTCATGGGGCCCACAACTAAAAGTATTAGGACACGATGCAATCGGATGTTTCATTACACACTGTGGATGGAACTCGACGCTTGAGGCATTAAGCCTAGGGGTACCCATGGTGGCTATGCCACAATGGACCGATCAAAACACTAATGCAAAATTTGTTACGGATATTTGGAAAGTCGGTGTGTGGGCTAAGAAAGATTGTAAGGGAATAGTAAAGAGCAACGTGATTATCGATTGTGTAGAACACGTGATGGAAGATGGGGAAGAAATTAGAAAGAATGCTATTATGTGGAAGGAATTTGCGCGGGAAGCCGTTGATAAGGGAGGGAGTTCAGATACAAATATTGAAGACTTTATAATTACATTGAAAGAGAAAAATGAAGCAAAGTAACATGTGATCGAGTTGACATGTGACTGCAAAATTATGAGTTCAAAATTTGTTGATATCCTTTTTGGCTTGTATTGTTTAATTTGCATTACTAGCACAGTTTGCAAGCTATAAAAATAATGTAACCGAAGAAATCATCTAAATGGTCATATATATATACATATATATATATATTTTGTTAAACATTTCGAGATATACTTTGTCGTCCTAATTCAAAGTATTATTTTCGTGTGTTTCATCTCAATTTTTTTTCTATTTAAAAAAAATAAATAATTGTATATTAATATCAAAATATCTTTAATTTTTACTTAAATTACAAATATATCATTACACATAACATATTTTATATATATAATCAAATACCAAAATGTTGTATTAAAAAACTTACCCAATATGTGTAATGTTGGCTCATTCTTTTAATAACTTTCTTTTTTCTAATTTACTACTATGCAATTTTACTTTTCAAAAATATATATTACCATGTATTTATTATAAAATATTATACTTTATTTGTTTCAAATAAAGTGTTTATTTTTTTTATTTACTTTGTCCACATCATTTGTATTTTATTTTTAAAAAGAAATAAGTATATATTTTAATCACATTTCAAATTTTATATTAATTATGTCTGAAGATATTTTTAAAAATATCAAATTAAATAATTTTTTTTTTAATATTTTATATTATATTTAAAATATTGTATCAATATTTATATTTATATATATATATATATATGGCAATATTCAAATTCAAATCTCAATCAAAATCCAAAGTTTGAAGAATTGGTATAAAATTTAAACAAACAGATACAAATTCCCAAACAAACTCAACCTTAATTTAATCCCTTCCTCCAATTTAACGCCACGACAGTGTAGAAAATGACGTAAAGCTACGTCTATAAATAGAACCTTAACCTCACATTATATATCTGTATCACAATTCACAGCGACTCGGAACTGAGTCGGTCGAGTTGACTCATCCGCCATGGATTCCGATGAAGACTGCAGAGCTCACTGCCTACTTGTGCCCTACCCAATCCAAGGTCATATCAATCCCTTCCTCCAATTCGCCAAGCGATTGCGCCACAAGCGCCGCCGCCTCCAAATCACCCTCGCGCTCACCAGATTCACGCTCAAATCCACCGGCGCCGCCGCCGGAGAATCCTCCATCTCTTTCCGGTCGATATCCGACGGATTCGACGACGGCGGCAGAGCACAGGCGAGGAGCTTCGAGGAGTACAGAGACCGATTCGAGCGGGTCGGGCGGGAAACCCTAACGAACCTGCTCCGGGAGCTTTCGGATTCGGGTCGGCCCGTTTGGTGCCTGGTGTACGACCCGTTTATCCCGTGGGTTGTCGAGGTGGCCGAGGGCTTCGGATTTCCGACGGCGGCGTTCTTCACGCAGTCGTGCGCCGTGAACGGCGTCTACCACCAGGTGTACTGTGGGCGGCTGCGGGCGCCGCTGCAGGAAGATGAAGTGGCGGAGGTGGCGCCGGAGCTTCCGCCGCTGAAAGCGGAGGAGGTGCCGTCGTTTATTCGGGTCGCCGGGGAATACCAGGGGGCGCTCGAAATGGTGACGAATCAGTTTCGCCACGTGGAGAAAGCTGATTGGATTTTCGTCAATACTTTTTACATGTTGGAGGAAAAGGTACTATTTAATAAATTTAAATATAATCAAATAAAATATTGCAAGTATATTTATTCTTTAAAAAAAAAAAAATCAATTCTTTCTTGTAAAGCTAACTTAGCGGTTATTCAGGTCTTGCATGAAAGAGGACCTGTTGAACTAACATTTTGTTTTAATATATTTTTGAAGGTTTGGGAGAATTTTTAACTAGTAAAAGAATAAGTATTTTATATAATATTTTATAAAATAAAATAAATATTTAATTTTATACAAATTGTTGATTAATACTATCAAAATTCCAAAAGAGTGTATGCAACTATTCAATTCAGTCTTAATCAAAAGTTTACATTTATTTTTGGTATGAAAATTTAAAAAAAATGTATTTAAATAATAATTAATGGTACTATTTTATAAAGATTTTTTTTTTATTATTTAATTTGATTTAATTGTATTGATGTCAATAAAAGTAAATTTAAAGATATTTATAATGTATAATGCAATTAAATTTACGGAAAAAATAAATTTTATATTTGGACATACAAAAATTATAAATTGTAATTTTTTTTTAATGGAATGATAGTAGAACCTAATTTATTGTAATTTTTTTTTTTTTTTTTTGTAGATAATTAATTATCAAGCACAATTTTGGCCAATAAAAGCTATTGGGCCTACAATACCATCAATGTGCTTAGACAAAAGGTTGCAAGACGACGAAGAGTACGATCTTAGCCTCTTTAAACCCTCATCAAGTGTTTGTCTAAATTGGCTCGATCAACAACAATCTAAATCAGTCATTTACGTCTCATTTGGAAGCTTAGCTCAACTAAATGTGGAACAGACGCAAGAACTAGCACAAGCATTGACGATAATAAACAAACCTTTTTTGTGGATTGTTCGAAAATCCGAAGAATCTAAACTTCCACATAGCTTCCCACTCGAAAAAGGATTGATTGTATCATGGTGCCCACAACTAAAAGTATTGGGACATGATGCAGTTGGTTGTTTTATTACGCACTGTGGATGGAACTCGACACTCGAAGCTTTAAGCCTAGGAGTCCCTATGGTGGCAATGCCGCAATGGACAGATCAAATAACTAATGCAAAATTTGTTACGGATGTTTGGAAAATTGGCATGTGGGCTAAAGGAGATCAAAGTGGGATAGTAAAGGAGAAGGAAATCAGTCGTTGCATAAAACACGTGATGGAAGGAGTCGATGGAGAAGAAATTAAAAAGAATTCCAATAAATGGAAAGAATCGGCAAGAGAAGCTGTTGATAAGGGAGGAAGTTCAGATAAAAATATTGAAGAATTTATTCGTGCGTTGGAAAAAAGTAATGTTAGAGGATGAAATGTATGCAAAACCAAAATGTATAAATAGTTTTACTATTTACAGCTTCATATTTCCTATCAATCGAAAGATGAAATGCCTATGTTTAAAATTTGGATAGATTTAGATTTTTACTATTATTATTTTACCCTTTTCTGTTTAAAGTAAAGTAAATAATATATTTTACATTTTATAGTTGGGCATCATGAGATTGCATGCATATATTTAAAATCGGAGGGTTTGTTTATGATTTTATAAAAATTTTCCTACTCATCAACCCAGCTATCAAAATTCCTTCAAATGTACATCATGTAAAAAATATTTATCCAAACCATCATATTTAACATTACATCACCTTAAAATATTCTAATTTATATATTATAGAAAAAAAAAAAGAAAAGAAAAGAAAAAAAAGAACGAGTAAACAAACAGATATTTAACCAAATTGGTAGATAACGACATAGCACAGCATGCATGGGTGGGCAAGGTTAAATGCGTAGGGCTATATTTCCGAGTTAGTTACTGGAGTTGGGTCTTAGGTTGAGTCCGATATTATACGGGTCGGATTTTTAAGGCTCGGCCGGATTGGTACTGGGCCTTACAATGTTGTATAATTGGACTCATTTTGGGTCGACCCGTTCTAATTTGGATCCTGGGCCTGTCTAAGTTAGCCTCATCTGGCCCCACTTAGATAATGTGCTTAGTTGGTATTTATTTAATTTTTCGTTTAGAAAAATGAAAATAGTGGTTAAAGAAACAAAGTTATCTTATTTACTGGTATATATATATCAAATTAAATAATAATCGTAATCTAACTATTATTACTAGTTGGCTTACAGTAATTAATTTTAGATACTCTCTGAAAACAATAATAATCGAAGCATATAGATTTTTCACTACTTTATATTTTAAATATTTAATTTTACTAGATTAAACTAATTATTCAATGTAATATTTTATAAGGATAATAGATGTTGAAGATAGCATTTTTTTTATATAATAATAATACAGAGCCACCCATTAATAGAATAAATTGAAAGTTTCCTTACTCGATGTGATATTAATCATTAATAATAACAATAATCATAATAAAACCAATGTGTGTGTATATATATATATAAATAAATATACATACATTTTTATAACAATACTTGACCCAATAATAATTTTATGGGCCCATTTTTCCTCATAAATGAATCTCAAAACACTGATGATATTGATATGTACCCCCCATAGTTTCAATCACAAGAAATGACACAAATTTTATATTATTTTAATAATAATAATTAAACAAGGTGATCATATGCATCTGTTTATCCATATATAACTATGCATGCATTAAATAAGCATTAATTTTTGTTTAAAAAATATTTAAATTCAATATCTTTAGAGACACCAAGCTTGCAATATAATTTAATATTCCCACCAACCTGTCTAATGATAAGATAACAAGGTATAGCAATGATATGCATTAAAATAGAGTTAGTGTAATACTTAAGTCTTGAATAGTTTAAATTTTGTATCGATACATAAAATCATTGGTTTTGTGTTAATAAGATACTAAACATACTAAATATCCAATAGTTAGATATTCTAAGTTGAATGATTAGCTTAGGTTGAATTATTTAGGATTTGAAAATCCTAAATATTGTTCATACCAAAGAGAGCCTAAATGAATCTTGTCAGATCAAACTTAGACAAACCTCTATCTAAATTATGTAGTCTTATCTTAAATTTCTATCCAAATTTCACTAAAAGTTCGACGATTTTGGTGAATTTTTAAGTTTAACAATTTCCCGAAACCTCCATCTATCAAAACTGCGAAATCGAAAGAAGTAGAAAGGTAAAGAAAACATACCAAATAAGAGAATGGCCCTCAGCAAAGCAAACAGGCAATCCAAGCAAGGTCTGAGCTGAACAATTTGTCATCATCTATCTCCAATTGCTTCTCTTTCTCTCTCACTCATTCTGCATGCTCACATCCACAAGAAAAAGGTAGTAATAATTGTGGAAAAAATATGAATAAAAATAAAAACATTACAAGCCCACCAAAAATGTAATATCACCATAAATGAAATGATTCACATTAACATGTTGGGGACACCAACCAAAATCAAGATTGGACAGTACCTAAACCCCCAAATCCCAATCCCAATTCATATCATCCATCCATCATATGTATATGTGTATGTATATATGTATGACCAATTTAAGCTGTGTGAATGAACATGGAATAATAGAGGAGCCACATGTTATGAGGGGCACAATCCACTTAGAGACGAAAACGACCCTCACTCTCTCTAAGCAAAGAAAGAAAGATAAATTAATTAATGGGAATGGTCACTTGAATGATTTCAGATCAAATGTTTTGATAGTACATGAGGAGATTGTATGTATATATATCAAGTTTTAAGATAATATTAATAATAATCACAGCAGCCTACTACCACCCTGTCCAACTATCTGACAAATTTTCACTCACTAATTTCCATGACATGATGATGAAAACGATACAGTTTTTAACAAAGATGAATTGCTACAACATATATACTAATAGCACCAAGAAACATATTGAGCACAATTTGAGCCTCAGATAATGTAATTTAATTAATGGTCTAAGCTAATAGTATAGTAAACATGTAAAATCAACAATATCTGATTCAAAGATTGAGCTCAACCAATATAACTACTTTTGTGAAATTGATACAGCCAGAATTTTATATGAAGATTTAACTGTTGTAATCCAATCTCTAATCGTCAAAATAAAAATAGGGATGTCATTCATCTTAGGCTTAAAAGAGAGAGGTACAGAAAAGGCTTTTTTGTGCAAACTAGATAGAGCAAACATAAAATTTATAAAAACTAGATTATTGAATGCAACAATTAATAGAGAAAAACAAGAAATAATGAAAATTACATTATATATAATGGATAAACACAATATATCACTAATTTATTATCCAATATTCACTCAATTTCTCATTATTTACTCAATCAATTTTTATTAATGTAAAAATATATCATACTTTATTGTTCAATCACAAATTAATAGAAAATAATTTTCAATTAAATCATAATTAAATTTTAGCAAAAATAACTCGTATTATAAAATAACATAATATTTAAAATTTTTGATACCCATTATATAATTTATTAATTTATTATCCAATATTCACTCAATATTTTGTTATTCACTCAATCATTTTTATTAATATAAAAATATATCATACTTTATTGTTCAATCACAAATTAATAAAAAATATCTCCATTAAACCAAAATTAATGACAAATATAAATCATATTTCAAAACAACATAATATTTAATATTTTCAATACATGATGTATCAATTCAATATGCATATATCCCAATCAGGCTCTGTAAGTAAAATTCCTAAACTGTCTTTATTATATAACACCCACTAAATATGATAAGAAAAAATAAAGATACATATCAACAATTACATTCATATGTTCAGCATAATAAAGACATATGGCGATAAAATAACCACAGTGGTCAAGATAATATATTTTTACGTGCCAAAAAAAATAATAAAAAGATTAGAATGAAGTATAATCAACCATCTTATCCAAATCAGTAAAGGCTTGCAAAATTTAAACTTCAGCCAAATGCATCAAGATTGTGGGAAACAAATTTCTAACTTCCTAAAACAAACATTCTATGCACACAAGGAAACCCCAAAAATATAAATAAAAATTAGAAAGGGCCATTTTATATTATTTGATTAAATCAATCAATACACATCTGTCTCTACAGAACAAGTTTGGTGATGGACAACAATCTAATGAAGATGTGGCAAAAGGGTAGCCACAAAATAAGAATTCATAAATAAGCAGTATCTTTTATCATCTTATTGTCAAACAAGCTTCATTCTAGGAGGGCCCAGCCTACTACTCTACAAATTTACTCACATTCTAGGATCATCTTCCAAAACAGGACATCAGTACCATAAGATGCTGCTGTATGTGTGGTGTGTTTTTTTTACTGTTTATCAATTTCAACCCACCTGAAAAAGTTGCACACATAATTGAGGTTGTCTACTTAAAGACACAGATCAGGGGTTCAGTTTCCTCACTGATCCCATCCTCAATATTGTGCCACTATCTATACATTTTCTTTCAAAGTGAGTGTACTGTGTGTGATGGATCCACCAGCATTAGTCAAAACTTTTAAGTATAACAATCCATCATCACAGCAAACCATGTTTAGTAGTGTGCAAGAACCTCATTGCAGATCCTCCTACCCACAACAGAGTAATAACAATTCAGGTTTTGAAGATTTATCATTCTCATCCTATGTGAAAGCCAAAGACCCCTCACAGAAACCACAGGGAAACGACACGAATTGCACAAATGATGATGCGGAAATAAGCATTTTCGATGCGCAAAAGTATTTCAGCGAAAATAGCGATCCGAAAGATGGCAAGAGACAGGATCAGATGATACCTCATGATCATACGCTGTCGCTCCCAAGATTGTCGTCAGTTTCATCGGTTGATGGATATGGACGGAATTTCCGAACAAGATCTTTCCATGCGACGCCGACAGCTTCCTCCGAGGCGAGCTGGAACTCCCAAACAGGCCTCCTGGCGAATCCTCCAGGTTCGATTGGAGTTTCCGTTAGGAATCTCAATCTCCCCTCTGGAGACATCAAGAGGAGAGGCTCTCCTGCAAGAAAATGGAATTTCGGGCGCAAGTGTTGCTGCACTGGCAAGAAATCTGTTCAGATCAAGGAAATAGCTTCGGACTCCGACCATGGCGGACCTGTCCTGATCAACAATGAGAACTGCAACAAAAGTGTTAAATCCAGCTATTTTTACACAAAAAGTGACACCAGCAGAACGATAATGACTCCAACGAATTTGTCGAGAAGAAGTACTTCAATTACCAACTGCGTCCTGGAAATCCACCAACACAAAGCTATGGCTATGCCGCCAAATCCTGTTAGGCTCTCGCCTGAGAACAGTTTTCAAACCCCTGATTCGCCCCAACGCCAGCAACGTGTATCTGCTTCTGGAGGATTTTCGTTTCCGATCCTGAACCCTAATTCCCAAACCACCAAGCGGGTGATCATGGCGAAACCTGTAATTAATCCCCTGGAAGATCCGCCTCGTGACTCTCTGGAAGTTTTCCAGCCGATGCACGACCACCCGTCGAGGCCTCCATCGCTCGACAATCCAATGGCGCGAGATGAGGATATTTGCAGCGACGCGAGCTCAGACCTTTTCGAAATCGAGAGCTTCTCGACGCAAACGACGTCGTATCCTCCACTGTACCGCCGGCGCGATTCCTTAGACGAAGCCTCAACTTTCAATCCTAGAAGATTCGCCACCGCCAATGGCCTCAACCTAAACTCCATAACCAACTCTAGAAGAAGCCTCGACGAGCCGCCGACGCCGAGCGTGGCGGCGACGGAGTGTTACGCCCCGAGCGAGGTCAGCATCGACTGGAGCGTCACCACCGCCGAGGGATTCGACAAAGCCAGTGTCTCGAATTTCTCCCTCTCCGCCTCCGAATTCGGGACGGCGGCGCTGTTCCGGCGCCGGAATCACGACGACTCGCAGGGAGTCGACGGAGGGAAGAAGAAATCCAACGGCGGTGGAGGTGGAGGTCTTCTGCTGATGAGCTGTCGGCACGAGAAGGCGGTGAGCGTGGGGCCGCAGCCGGTGAAATTCACGCCGTCGGAAGGCCCACTGCAAGTGGGGAGTAGGCCACCGCGCGCCACCAAGCCGCCGATGGGGAGCTCTCACGCGGCGCGCCTGTCCCTCGCTTTTGCGGCATGAAGAATTTGGGATGTTCCTGAATCTGCAGCACCTGTCAAGCTCAAAGCATTTCTTGGAATTTCAGTGACAAAGCTTCTTCTGTGTGATAAAGACTCTTCCATTAAAGATTTCTAAAAGAATTGTTGTGTGTGCTTCTATGAATAAATAAAGACAGCCATGATTTTCACAGATCGCAACCTTCGATCCCTAAATCTTTTGACGCCATTAGAAATGGAAAGAATCATAAAATATCAAGAATATGAACGATAAAGAAAGGTTTCGAGCAAAAACAACCAATTCCATGGCAAGAGATGTCTCAAAATCCATGATGAGTTCTAACTCTGGAAAATAAATTAATGAGCAAAATTAAAGCTTGAGCCGAAGGTGAAGAAGCAACTCAGCCGTTGCAATTTGCAGCAGACCACCAGCCTCCACGAGTGTCAGCATTCACTGACAGGAAAACAGTCCTCAGTAATTTTGAACAAAAAAGAGGATTCAAGGAATTGGATAGGTTGTCGAAGAAATCCACATTACCTACTTGATGTTCATCAGTGATCGTAGTCAAAACACATATTTGCCAGCAGCTTGCAGTGATGTGTACCGGAAGTATAGAAACTGAAGAACAATCTGCCGAATTGTTTAAGGACATACATGCACAGAGGGATGTTTTGGAAGAATAATGAAGTTCAATAATGATTTTTTATGTTCCCGGCTTGAAGGATACGAAGCAATCAAGAAACATACATCCGCTGGACTCCACCAGCCATGGAAGATTCGGCTTTATTTTCGACCAGTCTAAGCTCCTCAGAAGGATGCTGCAAAGAAAGAGAAAACGGACTGTTGGGTAATATGCAGTCTGGAAATTGTTGCCGTGCAAAATTGCAATCAATAAAAAGTTAAAAGTGGGTTGGTTTCGAAGAATTCAAGCTGGAAATCGATTTTCCAACAGAACTGTAAAGCAGTAACTCAGGTAACGTACGCACCTTGCCACATATGAGCCATTGCCAATAATAGCTAAGACAAACATCAGTGGATTAACTCCCTGCAGATCAGATCAAGATATCGAGTTTATTACATCCCAAGAAAATGATAGATCATCTTAAGTGGTTTTGCTTGATCATGAGGACAAGAAAAAGCAATATGCTAACCTCCGCATTTCCTCTTTTAATCTGCAAAGACAAGAAAGAAAGTTACAGTTAGGAAATAACAATTCGATGAGATTAATAAATTCATGACTTATGGATTCATATTCTGTTATTACATTCAGGTAAATTTGGGGAGGACGTCCGCCCAAGTAAATAGCTGCCATTCCCCAACCAAGTAGTGTTCCAATCACACGGCTCTCTGAACCAGGAGCTTCGGGTGCAGTGGAGGTAGTTGACTGCAGCAGCAAAGATTGTAGAAGTGAAGTTACAAAGTGACCTCTATCTAAAACAATTCTAAATTTCGCTACCATAGTGAAGAAAGAATATAATGTTGCTTAAAGAAATAAGAAAATTTCAAACCACCGTGGTGCATTCTTTACCTCTAAAAGTTTTCTTCCGGCTTGGAAGACCTTCCCTCGAACGTGTCCTTCTCCACTCGCAGCTAGTCCATTGTTGCAAGTGAGGAGGATGAATGACACAAACAAAACCTGCAGAATCACAACAGGTAGATAAAAAAAAAAAGAATTAGATAGAGCACGGGGAGCCGAAGTGTTTCAACCTTGTATGGACATTATATGGTGCTCACCACACACAGTGTGGTTTTGATTTTCTGCAGAAAAACAGATTTAGTCGACCTAACATTACTGAGCAATGGTGTTTCGAGAGAATTATCTAAATCTGAACTTCTCAGAGCAGGGAAACATTCAACAGTTGGTTTCTGAATCTCTGGAAAAGATTTTGCAGGCCTGAAAAAATTATCTCACAGAATAAGGATCCAAGTGCAAAGAAATATATCACTACTACGCATCAAAGTATGAAAAATAAGCGGGGACAATTATAAGTAATTGCTTCAAAATTGATGTACATGGGCACTGACAAGTAATATGATTCTTCACTGCTAGGGAGAGAGCTCGAATCTGGCTGCAATCCTTTGATCCTGACCTCTTCAGCATTCAAATCCATGTAGTGTTCTACAGACTTTTGATGCATGACAAACTAAATAAGTATCTTGTTTATAAACAACTAATTGATTGGAGCATGCAGTAATATATGAAATCGAAAATGGTTATATTACAGGCCCTTACCTCCTGCAGCCTTCTGTTGAACTTCAGTTTTGGATAAATGTAGCGATAATATAGACTTTGTATAAAAAGAAGGAGAGCCGTGAGTAGATATAACTGCAAGAAACCACAATCAATATTGTTAGCCATGTAGTGATCATACGACCAAATTTAGAATAACATTGGCACAAAACCCATACCACTGCAGTGTAGTATTGCGTTGGAAGCTGCAAATTAAAATTATTGAATTAGTAAAATGTTTGGCTGTAAGAAATTAGTTCTTCACTATCATATAATAAAAACATATAACCCTCAATTACTAAATTGGAACATAATGACATTTATAACAAGCCAGAATGTAAAAGAATTTAGAGAGATTACATAAATGTTATGCATATAATTCAATAATGAACACACAATGCAATGAGCATCCGAAAGTAAGTGGTGCCAATCATAATAAGTAACTCACCGTTTCAGGCTCCAGCATGCAGCCAAGAACATTGAAAATATCTCTGCGAGTAAATAGTCGAGAAAACAATTAGCTAGGTATCCAGATAGAAGAAGTGCTTGCATAGAAATTAGCTTCAACATGTGAACAATCTTAAAAATTCAAAAACTGCAACCCAGAAGTGAAATCAGTTTTTTGAAACTCATATTTAAATGCAAAGAAATTTTTCATTTTCAAATAATCCATCACAACAAGCATGAGGATGAAGATACATGCTGAAACTTTATCAACAAACTAAAATCATCAAGCCATTGGAAGAAAATAACGATTGATCCGAATAACATACATCAGCAAGGATTCCTAAAATTGACAGAACTTAAGATACTCAGGATTTCATTACAATAATTACAATTCGAAATTTTTGAGAAGTAAAGGCAGCTATTTACCCAACTATCCACGCCACGAGAAAGAAGATCGAGAGCCCCTCAGAGGACTTCTTCTTGTAACTGGTGATAATTTGTGGTAGCTCAGCCAGGCCCCAAGACACCACACCAATCATCCCGAAAACAAGTGAAAGCTTTTCTCTCTGGCTGCAAACGCAATACCCCATGTAGTTTAATGTCCATTGCCAGCACTGCTTATCCACAGGACACGCCACTGATTCGCTCCTTAATATCTCCATTGAATCCTGGGGGAATTTATCCGGTGAAAGAGTAGTGGCTGTGTGTTCCACGACTGCCTAAAAGAAAATTAGCCCCATTGAATACAATGAACAGCATAATCTAACAAAAACATTCACACACGGAAGTCTAACGGTCTAGTTAATCAATTAATCGTGCACATCATCATCAAACCTATGAAATTACACGATAGAAACGTTAAGGGTGTGTTTTCAAGTTTGCATATATGTATGTGATTGCTTCTTATTCGAATCTCTTAGCGCAAAACATAGATTGGAGGTAATGTTTTGTAGTTCACCTGTGTTTCTGCAACATACCACTATGGAATGCAATCTATGAACAAATGCTTCATCATCAAAACATAAATTGATTTCAATCCATAAAATCTTACAAACTATTGCATTCAACGATTGTTATTCAAGCCGAAAAATTCAAATAAAAACAACAAAAATATCAAAAACGTCCCAATGCAACCCAAAACACGCCAGATATTTGGAAAAATTCATCGTAAATCATAGATTGCATAAGCGAACAAATTAAAACTAAACACTTACACGTTCAAAACCGTGAAACAAAACAGCGCTTATTTGATGAAACTCACTGCAAGACCATGGGAATCCAAATATGAAACACCTTGTGAAGACGCCGGCGACGCTGAATGTGAAACAGTGGTGAGTTTGAAATCCGCACGGAGTACGAACAACTGCTGCACGCCGGCGGCTTCGACTTCTTTCTGTTATGGAGGCGCAATAGCTGTGATTAATTATTAGTATATATTTAGATTTACTAATTGTGATTAATTAATTATTAAAATAATATATTTGGAAAACATGCTTATTAATAAATAAAATAAAATAAAATAAGATTGAAGATTATGATCCAAAAGTCGTTGCGGCTCGTGTCAAATTAGATTTACTGCTTAGACCATCCGCAATGGAGATACCCAAATTAGATATTCTTTTGGGTATCTTCATTACTTTTTTTTCTTCACGTCATATTCTCTCTCTGTCACGTCAGCGGATTCACAACAAAGATACTCATCCTAAATTTTTAATAAATTTTTATTTTCATATTATATATATATTATTTTTTAATTATAATTTTAATTTGTAGTATTAATTATTTATTTAATTATTATACTATATTATATTATATTATTATATTTCAATATTTTGATTTATTAAAAATTATACTATAATATAAATTAAATTAAATTTACTAATATTGATTTGTTCAATAAAATTATATAATGTTTGTATTTATATATATTAAATTTCAAATTAATAAAATATATTAAATATTGGTATCATTTTATAGAATATAAAATATTATGAATTATTTTTAATTATAAAAATATTATAAAATTATGGTCTTACACATCCTAATTCAACATATAATCTTTGCAGTTTACTTCAGATTATTTAGATACAAAAGTATTATTTTATTGGATTTAATTACTCACTCCTTTGAATTAATCCACTTCTCTTTTGAGTACACACTTTAAAAAATAGTGTTATGTAATTAATTAGTGATGTAATAAAATTTATTTTAAATATTATTTTTTAGATAAAATATTAAATTAAAATTTTAAATATTTTTTATTTTAATTTTTAAATATTAAACTTTTTATTTACTAAGACTATTTAAAAATAATAATAATAATTGTATCTTTTGTAAATCAATACATACAATTAGATAAAAAGTAATAATAATTTTAATAATTTAAATTAAATTAATACAATATAAAATATAATAATAAAAAATTTGTATAAAAAATACATAAAATTTTTTGAATTTAATTATTGTTAGAAATAGTTAATTATGACACATCAAATTTAATGTCACATTGTATACAATATCAATTTTTTTGGTACGATATTTATCGCACTAATGTCGTGCAAATATTTTGGTATACCGAATTTATGAATAAAAAATTTTGAATTACAGAAATAACATGTATATTCATACAAAAAAACAATTCATAAAGTTTTAAATTTCGGTACAATATGATTTTTCTGTATAATAACCATACATAGGATCTTTTCAGTATATATAGATAATTAAAAAAAAATTGATATTTTGTATATACCGAATATTCGATACAATATCAATATTTCTTTAATAAACTAAAAAATTGGTAAAGTGTACAATATAGTTCGATATTTTTGATATGCTTTCCAAACCATCTTTAACTGAATTGTATACACGGTATTAGAATATAATATTCTACATTGAAATACCAAAATTAAATATAATTTTATAATTTTGCATGATAAATATTTTTTATTTTAATTTTTTTTGAATAAAGAAAAAAACTCAAAATCAAATCTCATTTTTAATTGATTTTTCTGCCATAAATTTTCAAATCAAACATTAAATTCTTTTATATTATATTAAAAATCAATTTTAAAAAATTTAAAATTAGATGAATATTTATTTATATCATATTAAATATTTATTCTATATTTATTATTTAAAATTTTAGCCAAACTTCTAAATTTACAACTAAACAAATAGGAAAACTAAATATATTCATAAGATAATAAAATAGAATTAAGTTTTTTAATTATAAATATTATTTATTAATTGTTACTGTAATATTAATATAAAAGTAGACCAATTTGGTGGGACAATAAAAAATAAATAAATAAATAAAAGTAGACTAATTTGGTGGGATTGAATGAACATATTTTTATTATATATTAGTATTATAGTTTATAATTAAGTAAAATTTGATATAATAAAAGCATAATTATGGGTTCTTCATTATTTCCTTTCATGTATGATTAGATAATATTAGAAGGATTGTTTATTTTATTTAAATAAAGTAAATATGAAACTCTTTCAAAGGTAAGTTTTGGAGGATGGCAAATTAAAAAGTAACAGTATTTTATTGACCTTATAATAGATTTTGATATTTTTATCATTACTTTATAAATAATGTTATATGAAATAATATGTTTATATTTTAAATAATATGTTATATTTTTTAATACTCTCTCCGTCCATTTATAATGTTTACATTGGAACGTCCAATTACAAAGTTAACGTTTCATTAAATATCCTACTTTTTTCCACATATACTTTTACTTTACTTCACATCATTACTTTTACACAAAAAAGAAAAAAGTAAGGGCAAAAATGTCATTACACTATTTTTAACTACTCACTATAATTAAAATATTATTATTTCTTAAACACTGCGCCAAAAGTAAATGTAAACATTGTAAGTGGATGGAGATAGTATTATTTTTTTTTGTCTCATCTTTTATGTCTCACTACAAAAAAATAATCTATTTGTAACAGAATTCTGTCCCTAAAGTTTACGTAGCTAACGTAATTTCATTCCTAATTCCGTCTCTAATGTCATTAGTAACGAAAAAAGTAGATTTAGAGACAAAAAAGTTTTGTTACAAAAATGATTTTTTCTTGTAGTGTCTACACTTTACTTTATACAGATAAAATATAATTAATAATTAATATTAAACTAACTAATTAATTTAATTATAATAAAAATATTTATTATAAAATTTAAATAATAAAAATATTAATTATAAAATTTAAAATATAATTAAAATATATAATCAATTTTTAAAGAAAAAAAGGAATGATAAACAATGTTGAACGAACGAAAATAAAAATTACATTAAAAAAAAAAAAAAAAAAGCATACGAAGAGAAGAAAATAAATTTTCATGAGGCAATAAGATAATATATATATATATATATATATATTAATTTAGACAAAGTCAATTTTCCTTGCAACTAATTTAGACAATTAATTTAAAAATAGAAACTCGTGCATGGGGACATGCTCGCTCCTAAGTAACAAACTCAGCAATTCTTTGGGACCTGCACAATAATACATTTCCACTGTTGAATCACACAAAAATAAATAAATAAACAATAAATAACTTATTTGAAAATTTTAAAATATGTATATAAAATTTAGTACAGAATTTGACATTTTTTTATAACGTGAAAACTCGCAAGCCGTTATTCGTCATGTGCGCTTTGAGTAAATTTTCGATCGAATCTAAAATCATGTAAAACGACAAGACAAGTCACACTAGGTGAACTATGTATGACATATGGACCTAAATACATCGGAAGTTTGAACCCATAATATCACGATCACAAGTTCACCCCGTACCACTGGTATTTGACATTTGTATTAATATAATCCATTTGAGATCACTATCTTAAAAATTAGCTAAATAATATTTAATCTTTATATATAAATATGTATATGTATATATATATAGAAATTTCGACATTATTTATGATAATCCAATGATAAAGGGAGTGTTTGTTTGTGAAGTTTTGATTTTAAATCTTGGTTTTAAATACTCCATCCGTATCATATCTATATATCAATTTGCTTTTTGTACGAAGTTTTAGAAATATTTGTATTATATTGAGATAAAGTAGAAATAAAGGTAAAAAGACTAAATTACGCCTACTAGTATTGGATGATATAAAGGTAATGACATTTGTGTAATATATTGTAAATTGGAAGGATATTTGTAATATTAGTTAGATGGTACAATTGCTAAAAAAAAAAAAAAAAAGGAAATAGATACTTTGGAACGGACCAAAATGAAAAAATAGATAGATTCTTAAGGGACGGAGGCAGTAATACAATTTAAAATTAAAATAATTATTTGATATAATATTTTGAATGTAAAATCAAATTTAATACTCTCTTCGTTCCAAATCAAACGATCTTTTGGGGTTTTTGTAATAGATTAAAAAATAATAATATTTTATTAGTTAATATAAGTGTGCAAGAGTCTTTAATATTTTTACACATTACTTTATGTATAAAATAATTTTATGCGTAATGATATGCTTGTAATTTAAGTAAAAGTTAAAAGTATCGATATTAGTACATAATTTTTTTTAAATATATATATATATAATTGGTACTTTGAAGTGAGATAAAAAAAATAATAATAAAATGATACTTAAAATTGGAACAATTGGAGTATAATATATAAATAAAATATAGATATTTAATTTAATATCTTTTTAGTAAAAGTTAAAATAGTAAAGCCAAAACTAAATTCTCCCGAACAAACAAACCCGAAGAATTTATCATATGAACAAAAATTGTAGGGTTATTTCATGTTAAATAAATTTTGTGGTCTAATAATAATAATATATCTAATAATAATAAATTATATTATTATTATTATATATAGAATATTAATTACCAGAAAATAGCTTTCACCGTGGCGCAAGGCCTGGACCAAGAGTCCAAACTCATTGACCTCAATAGGTAGTCCAGACGAATGATAGAGCATGAAATCACCCCCAAACATGCTTCTCAGGTCTAGTGCTCCCGGCCCCACCTCTGTCGCTATGCCATTGATGAACACTGTTATCGCCATCTCTGATCCAACACAACCAAATATCATACTATCATGTATACAGTATATATATATCTGTATTATAGACACACACATATATATATATATACATATACAGGTAAATTATATATGTGTTTGGTTTTGAATTTATACTTTCTATTTTTTTATAAATAGTTGTTAAATTGTGATATTTTAAAAAAATAAATAACATACACTACTGCTCTAAATATGTTTATTTTGTCATTTTAGTATTTCAATTTTCAATGTATTTATTTAATTTTTTTAATTATTATGGGTGTGTTTATTTCGGAGTTTTGGTCCTGTGTTTTAATTTGAATAGTAAATTTTTGAATTTAAATAATTAATTAATATCATAAACTCTATGATTTACATAATATTAAAAAGAATGTGATTAAAAAACAAATATATTAGCCATTAAAAAAAACATAAATTATCATTCTATTTGTATTAAAAAACAAATATATTGGATTAAAAAAATTATCATTCTATTCTATTGTATTAGCGATAAAAAGGAATAGAGTTTATGTAAAATAACTCAGTCGGAGTTGAAACCCTAAAAAATCGGTAGACATCTAAACCCTAAACCTTCCTCGCCAATATGATTGTTTAAATTAATTAAAGATGGGTTTAATTTGTTTACTTTATATAAACATGTTGAAAGTATTTTATAAATTTGAATTGATTTCCAAATAATAAAAATAAATAAATATTTGTTGTATTATTAATAAATATTAAATGTGATATTTACATTAAAAAAAAAGAAGAAGATGTTTTTATTATATAGAGAAGTTAATATGGTGCAAACTGTATTTTTAAATATTAAATATTTTCATGTAAATAATTAAAATAATAATAACATTAATTAATAAAAAAGTGTATAAACTTTTAAAAATGAGCAATGAATATTTACCAGAGTGAAAATCATACAAATGGGAACCTTCCGAGTTCCCAAAATGCAAACTCTGATCAAATTCTTGCACCGCCGGCGGATTGCCGGAAAACGACAAAACTTCTCCGGAAGCATGATCCGCCGCCGTTCCGGGCCCGAAAGAAAACGACGACGACGAGCCCGGATCCAAGCCCGAGCCCGCAGCGTAAGCCAAGCCGTCAAGATCGGCAATCGAATATCCGCCGCCTCCCGCCGCCATACAGCAGTCATACATAGCTATTCCGGGGGCCGCCGGCAGCTGAGATTCCCATCGCTCTCCGGCGGCCGCCTGCATTTGCCGCTGGCGGCGGCGCAGCCGGGAGCGGCGGTTCTGGAACCAGTAGAAGACGTTGGCGTCGGCGACGGCGCCGAACTTCTCGAGCAGCCGGCGAATCCTGACCGTCTCTTCCTTGGGCGGATTCACCATCCCACCGTTGAATATGGACTCCAGGATCAGGATTTGCTCCGGCTTCGGCGCCCAGCGCGACCTCTGTGGCTCGGCTTGCGCCGAGCCGCCGCTACCCAGTCGCCCTTCATTCTCCATATATGATTTTCCCCTTTTTTTTATTTATTTTATTATTTTATTTAAATTAAATTTTGTAAGCAGTAAATGTATGACGCAATAAGGTATGGATGAAAGGCTATTTAAAGGGGCAGGGGAAGGAATATTGGTCTTGGTGGAAATTACTACAATACCCCTAGTCAAAATGTCATGCAGTGTTTTTCTTTTTAATTAATTAATTATAGTGGTTATTGGAACTCATGTGGATAAAATAAAGTGTGTGATTAGCATTAAATTTTATGTAGCTTTTTATATCGCTAATTTTGTATTCAAGACAAGCCAAATAAAATAAACTTCAAAATGAGAGGAAATAATAATAATAATAATAATAAGGATGGGTTGCCGTGTCTGTGTTTGGACACGCAGTTGCCGGCCGCCGCAAACATTGAAGTCCTAAGCTATAGTGTGTAAATGTATAACTTAGTTACGTTGGAAGTGGCATTGGTGCTGAATCAGAAAATTATTTTGCTTCCTCGCTCAAATTTATTATTCATTTCCCGGTTTTGTCATTTAAATTAATTTTCATTTTTATATAGTGAAAAAATGTCATTTTTTTATTTTTAATTTTTTTAATAAAATATTCATATTTTTATCTATTATTTTAAAAAAATTCATGTCCGATCAATGATATACATTTTTATATAGAGTGAGTATATAAAAATAATATATTTTATATTAATATCGGGCACTAGGTGGTCGATAAACAATTTATTGAACAATTGTTATCTTATTAAATAGTTAAATACAATTACATTATTTGGTAAATTAATTGTTTCAAAGAGCTTATTGAGTGGAAAAGTTAATTTTAAATTTTTTTAGAGATTATTATTATTATTATTATTATTATTTCCAATTTAATCTTTTAAATCTATTCTTTTGTTTATTGAATTATTTTTGTTGTTGCATTACTTAATACTTATTTTTTAAAGTTATGGTTTAAAATTTATAAATTTAAAGCAATTAAATTGTTAATTCTCTTATATAGTATTAATTATTTTATTTGTAAATACATAAATTTAATAAAATATAGACAAAAAAAATTGTATATACATAATTAATGTATTTATATATAATGAGATACTACTTCTTTTTATTATTATTCTAAAAAGTAGGATGAAGTCTAATTTACCTTTGCGCAAAAATTAATCATAAATTCGTGTGGATAAAATGTAACCTAAAGTTTGTTTTGTAACGAAATTGTATATTAGATTTGTTGATGCAATTTTTCAACTATAAAAAGTAAAATTTGAAAATAGAAAATTATTTTCGAATTTGATATAATTAGTGCTTGAGATTACAAAATCTCTAAACAACATTGTACTATACATAAATAAAATAGAAAAATAAAATGGTGATCCCAAATGCAATTCTTTTGAATTTGACAATTGATTGAAGATACTCTGACCCCAATCCTTAAATATTAGTCAGAAGAGATGTTTCAGAACCGTCGCCAGCAACCGCCATCAACCGCCCACAACGAAACGTTTTGAAACGTTATTTGGTCGGTTACGGCAACCGTATCGCCAACCGCATAATCCAACCGACCAATGAGAGACTAACTGGTCGCTAGACCAAACGACTCATTGGTCGCCCCATCAAGCAACCACCATCTAGTCTTTTCAGACGATTCAATGGTCGCCCCAACCAAGCGACTAAACTACTGTTCACTTAATTGGACGACTAATTAACAGACCTTCTTCGCTTGGTCCAAACTCCGTATTGGCCGACTCAACCCATGGCGGACCAACCGACTGTGAACCAACCGACTTCAAACCATCTGATCCGACTGCAGACCATCCGACTTGCCTATCCGACCACGGACTTTCCGACATGCCTATCCGATTGCGGACCTTCCGACCTGCCTATCCGACCACAGACTTTCCGACCTGCCTACCCGACTGTACCACGGACTTTCTGACCTGCTTATCGGACCAATGACCAACCAACCTGTCTGTCAGACCGCGGACCTTTCGACCTGTCTGTCCGACCGCGGACCTTCCGACCTTCTTATCCGACTGCGGACCAACCGACCGGATCAACCGACCGCGGATCAACCGACCTGAGTGCATATTTTCTCTTTTTCCACCCGAGTTCGTGTCCTAACTTCCTTTAAATCTTGCTACCATTATTTTTATTATTTTTTTGTGCATAACAAGATTATAACCGGATTTTATTCTAATTTTGTTAAGATATATTAGGGAAACTAAATAAATAAATCTGTGAAAATAACATATTACCAAATAAAAATTTTGCTTTAATTATTTTTTAATGTTTGGGTTTAGTCGTTTTTTTTCTATTTAAAAATAATGATTGAATGTATTTTTTATTACAAGAATATATATAGAGAGAGATTTTAAATTGTAGATAAATATCATATATATTTGGTATAAATGTTTTGAATTTGTGTAAACACAAAATCTTGATTTTTTTTTTTTATTATATGGTTTAAATTTAATCTCTATTTTTCTTTTTTTTTTTTCAAATATTTCGTGATAATAAAACTGTATATTTTATTTAAAAAATATATAGATAACATTTTTTAAACAAAAAAAATTAATATAAAAGCCAAATCGGAAATCCTATCTAAACACATACCATAAATAAATAATATATAAATTTATATTTAAGAGGGAAACTACCATAAATAAATAAATAACCATATGTATGTCAAAGTTAGATTTGGCAAATATATAATGTATATACCATAAATAATAAATATTTTATAAATAATCCTACCAAATAATACCGTTAAACAATTAATATTTTATACAATAAAATCTTAACAAACAATACCCTAAAATACGATAATAATTTAAACCCCTCAAAGATGGAAACCCTTATTATCTGTTTTATCTTCATTCCTTCATTCGTTCTCATCGTCTCTCCCCAAAACCCCCAAAGATCGAAACCCTAATTTTCTGATTTAATTTCATTCCTTCGTTCATTCCCATCGTCTCTCCAAAAAATTTCAATGGAAGAAGCCAATCGAGTGAAAGATTTAGCCCTAAATTACATAAACAAAAACGATTTTCAAGAAGCCCTAAAATTTTCAATTAGGGCAAAAAATCTCTATCCTAATTTGCCAAACATCGCTCAAATGATTTTGCTTTGCCAAGTCAAGATCGCAGCCATGGAATCCGTCGCCGCCACCGTCGCCGCCGCCTCCGCCGGCGACAAAAACTGGTACAAAATTCTCGGCGTCGATCCGACCGCCGACAAGGCCGCCGTCAAGAAACAGTACAACAAGCTCGCCCTAAGCCTCCATCCCGACAAGAACACGTGCCCCGGCGCCGCCGACGCCTTCCAATTAATCCGCGAGGCGGCGGCGGTGTTAACAGATGACGACAAACGGCGATCGTACGACAGCCGGCGCCGGAATATCCGATTTCCGACGCTTTTAAACAATCCTACGAAGGTATCGAAGGTTTTCTTTTCTACAAATTCCGCGCCGCCGGAGAAACCAAAGAGGGGGAGGAAACGGAAGAATATTCCGGCCGAGGAGCCGCCGGCCGGTGCAAAGAAAGTCGCCGGAGTTGAAGGAAGGGCGGTTAAAACTAAACGAGGAAGAAAGGCTGCGGTTCCGGTGACTTCTACGGCCGCCGGCGCCGGAATAAAAAGTCCGGCGCCGGAGATCACCGATTTCGATAAATTTAGGTCGAAGGAGCGTCTCCGACGGAGGGACATTTGGGCGGTTTATGACACTATTGATACAATGCCTCGATATTATGCATTGATCAATCACGTTGTATCCGACAATTTCAAAGTTGACGTTACGTGGCTCGATCCCTACGTCAAAAATCCCGTCGAAGCCGAGTGGCTTCAACGCGGCCTCTCGCTGACGTGCGGGGATTTCACATTCGGGGCATCCGATACCCTTTATGATCACGCCGTTTTCTCACACATTGTGAGTTGGCGAAAGGACTATTTGTCGGGAGACGACTATAAGATATATCCGAGGAAAGGCGAGACTTGGGCCGTGTTTAAGAATTGGGACATCCGGCGGTCGAAGGACCCGAATTGGCGCAGAATCGATCTTGAGATTGTCGAGATTGTGTCCGAGTTCGACGAGAACGAGGGCGTTTCGGTAGCGTTTTTGGAACCGGAGAGTGGGTTTTCGTCGACGGTTTTCGGACGGCGAAAATCGGAGGATTTTGAAGTGATCGGAGTTAAGGATAAGTTGAAGTTCTCACATAAGGTACAATCTATGAAGAAAAATGGCGAAAAAATTTTGTTTGAGCTCGACTCGGCTGCTTTGCCTCCGAATCTTAGGGTTTTGAAATCTTGAAAAGGTTAAAGTTATTGTTTTGAGTTTGGGTTTTGGATTGTAAATTTTAGGATTATTGATTTTATGTGGTATTTTGTAATGTAAGTATATTATTTTTATTAGATCATATGTATTTTTGTTTTGTAAAAAATAGTTATTTTTTATTTTTGTCCTATTGCTATTTTTTAATTTGATAATTGTATTAGGAGTATTTTGAAGAGGAGTATATTATTTTTAAAAAATAAATTTTTTCTTTCACTGATATTTTAATAAAAATCCAAACATCCAAATCAATTTAATCCAACTTGAAAAGAAACTTACTTTTATTTTTACTTGGTTACTCAAAATTAAAATAATTTTTTTCTAATCTCAATTCATTATAAGAAAATAATAATATTTTTGTGTACTATTATTTAATAAAACACCTTATGTTTCTAGCAATTTATTTTTGTTAGATTATATTTGTTTTTATCCAAAATTTTACAATACATAAACTATTGTTACACAATTATTATTATTATTTTTTAACGCATTCTTTTAATATATATTTTACAAAAGTTAACATTGAAGATTAAATATTATTTTTTATATTATTTAACACGAATCTTTATATCTTATATATATTTTTAATCATACAGTTTTGTTATTCACTATAAAAATATAATGTTTTTTTCGTGTAACATTAAATTTAATAGAACAGTGTGTTTAATATAATAATAATAATTAAAGCAAAAGAAAAGAAACAACAGTCATATATTTATTTTATTTTTACAAAATTTTAATAAAATTGAATAATATTATATCTTACTTTCCAAATATATATCAT